ATTAAATGACAAAACTATGGTTGTTATGGTTGAATAGTGAAACTCCAACACTTTTGCACTTTGACTATTTAGTTTGCTTTGGTATTTACAACATATAAATCAGTCAGAGGTCAAATCTACAGGGGCTCAACTTCATAACAAAATGATACTAAACTGTTTTACTAAATGCAGTTTGAATCATGGTGATGTTAGACAGAGGTTTGAGAGAAAATGATTCCTAATGGCATCACAAACCAGGTAGACTATTGAGAATAACTGGATATTTGGGAGTTTTTTCTGTCTATTTTGAAATGTTTACTTCCTGTTGTACTTCCTGTTGTACTTCCTGTTGTACTTCCTGACCAGCCGGGGCTATATACAACTGACATTTGACTTTTGGGTGGAATGTATAGAAAATGTAAAAACGTTTGCATGAAAGCCTTAAGTAGAAACATGCAATGGTGACTCATCATCGCAAACATTACATTGAGAAAAAAAAAACAAACACTGGTGGCGGCGTACGACCTTAAGCATTAATTACAGCACGGCAATTTCATCATCGTGAACATCTGATACTGATACAAATGAATTTACATCTACTGAGACAGGTCGTCACAAGGGCGGGCCTGGGGTCATTGAGGTCCTGGAGTACAGAGTTACAAGCCTCTTCACTGGTATTTCAGATTAAGAGGAAGTTTGGTTTGAGGTGAACCGAGCTTCAGTGGCCGTTCTGTAATGATGTGACCTCCGTGCCCTGGAGCATTGACGTGACTCAACATGAATCGACTTTCTTCAGAACAGCAGCACTGAGGCCAGTCCAGGATGCTGCTGTTCTTCAGTTCTAGTGCGGAGGTTTGCATGGAGTGGACTGTTTAAATACCAATTCCAATAGTTGACTGTTGAATTAAACATGTTGTAATTTTTTCCTTTTCCTCATCTTTAGAGAATAGAAATTTGTGAAAAAGTATGTTTGAGAAGGACACATGAAGTTGACACATTTTAAGTTCATCCAGAAATCCCACCTGAAGCTGAGCAGTTCCAATGCCTCACATCAATACAGTTCATACAAGTATATTACATTAAATTATCTTTGACTAGTATTCAAGCGTGCTTCGTTGCTAAAATATGAGATTTGAACACACCGTTTTGATTCTCAGTTGGCACATGGGTCAGGTCCTTTAACCCTATCAAACATCGCCCCTGAAATCCGCAGCTTTCATGACTACAGTCCTGTGGTTTGGACCGGTCGGGCAAATGATGTAGTCTGTTCTATAGTACTACTAAGATTAAAAAAGAAAAACACCATTGATTCATTAGAAAAAGTACGACATACGGCATTGTTTGGATGTTTGCATTTGCCTTTGTTCATAATACAATAATATATTAGACAAACTGCTTTTTAGACACTCCGCTAAGCTACAGTAAATGGGAGAACTCTGCACATCTGACCACTAACCCGGCTGCCCACCTGTGAATAAAACACTGGTGTAAATGGTGTGGTTGGAGAGATTTATTGTTTTTAAGCTAGTATCCAGAGAACTGACAGAAGTGAGGCGACCAACATGCGCTTTCCACTCCTCCAATCACCACCAATCGTACTTGCACACAACAGATTCACGCTCGGTGGCTTAACTTAAGAGTTTTGCCACAGTACAAGTTTAGAGATCAGGCTATGACATCAGGTAAAGCCACAAAGTGAGACAAAGTAGTGTGTGATTATTGTAATATAGACTGTGAAATGGTGGTAACTGTAATAATAGGAATGGGGCCAATGAAACAAAACTGTTTGAATACATATTACATTTTACGTTTGGTTTTAGTAAACAGATCTTGGAGACTAAAAGAATTTTCTTCAACAATGAAAGAGTAAACTTACAACTGCAATACAAACACACTGCTTCATTGCAGACTGTGCCAAAAGCCAATACCAGGCCACACCTGAGACAGGTGCTCCAGTGTCCCTGCAACAGTACAGTATTATCTGCTGTAACAGGCTTTTATTACAGCGTTACACCCACAACTTATTGTCAAGTGCTGGACTGAGATGCTCGTCACTGTCCATTCAGCAAATATAATAGGGCTTTTGGGACTTTTTCTTTCACGTCAAGATGTGATGGGACATGACCGATTTTCATTATTCCTTCCATTTATCTTTTCTTTTTTGACCAATGACTTTTTGCTCGATTTTCTCAATTGTTATTGGTAAAACTATTTAGTAATGTTTTTTCAAGTCAACATTGATGTGATTTTTCGCCTGTACAAAATACACTGATTTGATACAGTGTATGTCAAGTTAATTCTGCAACATTGGCTAATTTAAATGTAAAAAGTTAATTTTGACATGTTTCGGCAGTATACTTCCAGGAAACTAAGCAGTCCTAGCTTCTTTACATTATTTGTCTTATTATAAGTACCAGTAAGTAAATGCACTTGAATATCTCTAATCATATGACACTTCTTCATTAATATTTCAGGACCCCTGCACAGGATCTTATGGCTGCCTTTTTAACAGTTGAATTTTGAAGGCAATATTTGTTTATAATTCCATCGCAACAGCCGCCAGTCTGTCAGGCAGACGTCCAACATCCTGACGAGGTGTTGATAAAACAATAGCTCTCATTTAGCTCAAAATGTCATGTTTGTGTTGATCCAAAGGTATGCCCTGAATTAGAAACTGTGATTATTCTGTTGAATGCATTACAATCTCACGTTAAATAAACTATAGTTACTTGACTCTTGTTCAGACCTGAAGTTTACAATGGTACTCTTGCAGGTAGTCTGTAATTATGGTTAAGTTGTTAAAGTCATCTACATTAACGGGAGCCTGTCCAGCCAGAATACAGTTTTACAATACGTTTAAGAATGTAGAAGCGGCTGGTTTTCTGGGTCAAACTCCTGCCAGGACCTTCACAAACGGGCCGCAATCAGGCAGCATTGAAGGCATACAGTTGAGTAAAGTGCCACTATAGTGAAATTACCACAACAAAACAACTAATATGAGGTATCGATATTGTCTATTGGTCAGAGATGCAGGGTCAGCCCAGGACAGGTTAGTTAAGTTTCATTGCACTGAACTTTAATATGTATAAATATTGGTAACTTGCACTTCGTATCGACCTATATTTTATTATGTATGTTATATGATTGTATTGTCAAGGACTACAGACAGAAACCAGCATGGGGCTAAATCTGATGCAGCCATCTTTTTTAATGTAACTGCATATTGTCCTTAATAAATTAAACAAACAAAAAAGAAGAAAAACACCAACACTTTACACTATTGAAAACAAATGTGAACAATTACTTGCTGTGGTTTCCAAATGATCCACGATAATCTGTTTGTGTTTCGTATCCTACACAAGCACAAAACAAAATATTCTGAAAATATGTTGAATGAATGTGTGATGGACTATACCAACAGATATCACCTTTATAACCCTAACCCTAACCTTTTAGCCTGTGCACGTCAAATTCCCAACTCCATACCACAATGAAAGCCGTCTAAAACACTGATAATTAGTAGTCTCAGTTCTGTAATGACACTATAATGAGCCTCATCCTTCAGCGTAGTCACATCTAAAAGCCAGTCCATGTTGAGGGATGATGCTACAATATGTTTGATGAAAGAATACACCTATGACTGTTTAGGAAATGTCAACAACGTATTGCATTTTTTTTTCCTAGTGCCTTTTAATTCATGCCTGGTTGTGTCAGCTGATCAAACACAGTATTCTTCCTGGAGTCAAGCAAAGTGCATTCACAAAATATAACAACAAAAAATGTAAAATGACACACACATCTGCATGTTGGATCTATTATAATAACGGCAAACACTTACTCACCCAAACTCTCTGGACCCGGGGTCGCCAACTTGTGGCTCGGAAGTTTTTATTTTCATTTTCATTTTCATTTTAACCTATATTTAACCAGGAAAGTCCCATTGAGATTAAGAACCTCTTTTTCAAGGGAGTCCTGGACAAGTACCAGTAGCTCGCCACCCCCTTTCAGGTAGCTCCCCAAAGGATTTAAGAATTGAATACATGATCCTGAATGATTCACTTTTAAATCTTGTCATTGATGCAGGGACATTGTACGGTAAATGGTATATTATGCATACTATGTGTTCTCCATGATTGGCGGTTGTTGTTATTATATAGACTACAATTGTATTACGAACGCTACAAGGAGAAGCTCTCTGCCATTAATGTTTTACAAAAGTATCTCTCTGCTATGATCCTATCTGGCCAGAAGACGATCAAAGATTAAGATTAAGATTGAGTGATCCTTTATTTGTCCCACAGTGGGGAAATTTCAGTGTTGCATCACCAGTTACAGAACAGTAGGAATGAGGAGCACACAGCACAAGATAAATGAACAATAACTCTATACTAAATAAACTCATATGTCTAACTCTATAGTGTGAAGAAAAAACAAGTATAACATCTCTATCTTTAGCATAATCAGTACAAAAACTCTACCTTTGACATAATATGAAGCAATAGAGTACTGTGTATATAGAGAGCCAAAAAAGTATCCCACAAGTATTTCTGTGGGAGCCATATATTATTATTTTTTACTGTGATTATGTGTGGTTTAAAAATAAGATCCACACATTTGAGAGCACTTGAGACACCCTCATTGAAATGTAACTGTTTTTATAATCTGTAATTGTATGTAATTGTCTGTAAATTTTGTCCAGGACTATCTTGAAAAAGAGGTTATTAATCTCAATGGGACTTTCCTGGTTAAAAAAAGGTTAAATAATAAATAATTCATTTTATAGTGAATCTTTGTCGTGTAATTAATGTATTCTTTCGTTGAATAACATGTTAATACTGAAGAAATCCAGAGCTTTAAAGGATCCTTACTAATGCTAAGATCTGGCCCCTGAGCCATTTGGGTCCATCCTGACCCCTGTTCTAGTGCAAAGGCAAGCTGTATCTATGCATGTTATGGTTAGCCTATGATAATACCGTGCTGTGAGGGGTCAGTGTGCACAACCCCAGGGGCCTCACACTCACCGTGGCCGAGCTGATGCTGCTGTCGGTCAGGGTGAGGTGATGTGGCTCCCAGCGGCGCAGGAACTTGGAGCTGAGGATCTTGCTGAGGAAGGTCCGTGGATGCTTGAGCACGCACACCTGGATGTCCCCCTCATGGAGCAGCTTGTAGCGCATCCCCCCTCCCCCGCAGTGGAGCAGGCTCCTCTTGCACGGCCCCGCAGCCACTTTACTGTTGTTGTTGCCCTCGGAGTCCCCCAGCAAAGGCTTGTTCTCCTCGCACTGATAGAACTGGTTGTTGTGCAGCTCGCCCCCTCCACCGCCGCTGCTGCCATTGCTCAGATCCATGGCTCTATATTTACGATGTTATATTTCCGAATGTGACAGAGAGCAAAACAGCCCAGCCGAGGCAGGCCTACATGTATGGGACGAGCCCGCTGTCTGTTTTACGCACGGCTCACGTTATCCACACAAAAAACGCGTCAATAATCCACCATTTTCTTCCACGACTGTGTCCCTCGCCTCTTCACAGCAGCTTTTCAGTGAGTGAGGGCCATGTATTCAGTGCGTAAGGGCCATGAATTCAGTGCGTAAGGGCCATGGCCTCAGCGAGACGCCCCGACACCTACGGCTGCTGCAATCCGAGACAAGCGGAGGGAGACGCGGCGAGGAAGGACGTGAAAAGGCCGCAGAGGGAGATGTCCCCGCTCGCTCCGCTGTGCCCTGGTCCTCGGGTGTCGGGTCGATCCTGCGGTGTCTGTGTCTGTGGCTGTGTCCGTGAGCAGCGCACTGTGGCCGCAGCGCCGGTTGGTCCCCGCTCGTTCATGTGATACCGGAGTGACGTCAATGGAGGCGAGCGGATGTGTGCGTCCGCCCCCCTCACAGAACCACGCTCACGCTGATCGTTGTGCCAGTCCCAAGCCAGTAACATAAGTATTATTCTAATCGTTTCATTATATTCTACTGTTTCTCAAACTGCGGTGCACTCGACAGGCGGCACTTTTCAATTATTTAAAATATTGACTTTGAAACTTGTATATAAAAATTGTGTTGTTCATTTGAGGCAAGGCGCGTTTATTTGTATAGCACAGTTCATGCACAGGGGCAAGTAAAACTTGAGAGGAAGCATTAAAAACATTTAGGAGAGTTTTGAACCTGGACAGAGTAGGAGAAGCTTATACCTCACATTAAAAACCTGGTTTAGCCACAGACACAGATATGTCCTGTTTTAGAGGTTCAAGGTGGTTCTCAGTAAATAAGGGTGGGGGTTGGTGCCTTCTTGTGATAGGACCCTGCTCTGAAATTATGACATAATACAACTCTTATACAGACACTTATCCATGCATTTGTCTCCAGTAGGTTAGACTACTGCAATGGCCTGCTCACAGGACTGTCCAAACAGGCTGTAAAACAGCTGCAGTACATTCAAAATGCAGCAGCTCGAGTCCTGACTAGAACCAGGAAGTACGACCACATTAGTCCAGTCCTCAGGTCTCTCCACTGGCTTCCTGTGGCTCAGAGAATAGACTTTAAATGGATGTAGGCTATAATCAGCAGCAGAGACCACTCACTCACTGAGCATCACTGGGTAATTAACATAATGCATCAGACTGATAAATAACTCCTGTTCAATTCATTTAAATCAGTGAATTTGTTCAAAACTCTAAACCATGCACATGTGAAAGAACGGATGACCTGAAGCACATTTAGGCCAAAGTTGTGGCACATGTTTTCAGTCAGAGCGTCAGGAGACAGATCCTCTGAGCTGGGCCCTGCTGGAGGCTCCCTAAACATGCAGGACACAGCAGCAGGCGCACTCACCAAAACATGCTCTAACTCGGCGTGATGTGTGGTTCCTCTAATAAGTCTGCTCACATGTTCAGTCTACAGACCACAGCTGTACCTCTGTCACATGCTATTGTCCAAAGAGCTGGGCTTTGGTCACAACCTTACAGACAAAATAAAAGTGGAACTATCTTCTAACATCACTTGAATCTTTAAGCCAGCAGTGTCAAACTCATTTTAGTCAGGGGTCGAGCAGCAAAATAATAGGAACTGCTCATGGCCAAACAATTAGATTATAACTACTCTTTACAAAATGAAGGTATTTTGACATTACTTTTATTTGTCATGAAATGTGTTTATTAATTGGATTTAACTGTCTTAAAACTGGACTAAATATAAAGTTACACATATTGTTGTCTATGCTTCTAATTATGTGTTGGGTTAAAATGTTAGAATACATGAAGTGTGGTTGTTTGTCGGAGGAAGGTGATGTAGAACATGCCATGGAAGTCCATTACTATCAATCCTGCAAGTTTTAATTGATTATTAAATATCAAGAAAGGGGCCAAGCTAAATAGTCTTGCGGGCCAGATTTTGCCCCCGGGCCTGAGTTTGCCAAGCGATTGCTCGATTGTCATTTCCAGGAAAGCCGAGATATTGCAACTTCACAGCAGGTTCACATCATCTCTGAAGAAATCCTTTTTCCAATCTAGTTCAGACTTGACTGACCTTTCTCACGTTAATAAACAGTATTATTTGAATCTTTTCATGTCTGCTAATTCCATGTACGCATCATAAGCAGAGTTTTCAGGAAAGATGACGTTCAGTTGAGTGGACTGCATGCTTATGGTGTTTTTTAGCTCCCAGTGGTCACAGGACGCAGATTAACTTCTGCGTTTGTCACGAGAGCTGCTCACTGGGACTGTATCATTTCTGTATTGGTCCATTTAACAGGGCCGTAAGCAGCTGCATGTTTAGACAAGAAGTATGGAAAACCTCCAGCGTCATCTTGACTGTGTCACAGATGAATAAATATAACTTGAGCTCGCACTACGGTGGAATACCAAGGAAAACTAAAGGCGAGGAGGAAAAACATGGCGAAACATCAATAGATCATTCATCATTTGGACTTTTTATCCCGGCGGCACATCAATCATTTTCACTACTGTATAAAGTCAGTTTTGTACAAGTAATGATCAATTATACACTCCCTATTGTCTATTGAAAACTTCCCGAACACTGACACTGTATACGGCCTTCTGTTTGTCTCAACAGAGCTTTATTGTCTCTGACGTGAACGGGTGACACATGGGTGACGTTTACAAAGGTTGCTCAAGCACACGTTGCAAAACCAGCACATCATCGCATCCACACGTTTCCCAACTCGCCCTTTCACTTCACATAAATGCTTCAAACTCAAAAAGATGACACACACCAGGAGATTACTGAGTTGAGATGGTTTTAGTGTAAATATGTGAATTTGACTCACGTAATCAGCATTTGACAAAGCAATATTGGGATCGAGCAGTGACAAAATACTTTTTCGTGAAATTGTAGACTGGTATATCTTTGTACTACATTTTTGGTTATATATTGCTCACATAATTCTGTCTGATGTAGTGGAAAAACTGTGAAACTACTAAGAGTCCATTCATTTTGGAGCCACCAGTTGCTGTCAGTTGAAGTCCCAGGATCAGACCCAGTCCTGTTGTATTCTCACATACCACCACTAGATTCTGTCTATGTGAATGTGCACAGATGGCGTGTTTGCTTTGGCCTGACAGAAGAAGACCAGAGACTAGAGTCCAGGGGAGGGGACAAAACCAAGCTCACAAACAGGAACTGTGCACACAAATATATGGACATAACCCACAAGATAATGAGACGTTTAGAAAGTAGACTTCCAAAAAGCGATTCCTAATCTGCTAGTGATTGTTTAACCCAAAACCCAATCTTACTTATCAGATACTTAACTAAAGCCTTGTGCATTCAGAATGTCATGTAAATACCTGTATTTTGTCCTGTGAGGGAAACGGATTCTTGGAAAAGGGATTTCTTATACAACTAATGCAAGAAAAACCCACTCATGATTTTAGAGTTTACTTCAATACCTGAACTTTGTAGTTTTCTTTCTACAAGATTCAATGTTTAAGAAGCGAGTTTATCTATGTTAACTATCCATCATAATCGCACATAGGATGAAACAGTGTGGAGCTTTTGAGGACCAGCGGGGTGTGGAGCTGACGACAGACAGCAGCAGCTGCTGTGTGATGGAACAAATGGGGGTCAATGGCCAAAAGTGTCCTGACTGGAAAGCAACTCTGAAGTGACAGAAATGGAGGTCTATTTCTGCACGCCCAGGCAGCTCTGTCCATGATAAACATGATTATCAGGTAAAGTGCTTGTGTGCTGGAGAGTCCCCAGTTACAGCGCTCATGGGAAAGGGCAGACTGAGATGCTACTCTCTCTGATCCAGACCCTGTGTAAATGGATCATTGACAATTGGTTGTAATGTTGGTATTTGGCTGAATTGGTATGTTGGTATTGGGTTCATTGTTGCATAAATAATACCTTGAGGCACATGGGGAGAAGGGTAGTTTACATTTTGCATGTCTGTGTTTGCATATCTAACATCAGCACAGTTGTCTGCTGGGAGTGCATATTACAGCCTAGACTGATGCAGTACAGACACTAGTGTTGCTCTGCTCCTTCCTTTCTCTCATGTATAAAATGGTAAGAAAATGGAAAAAAGTCAAGCTAGATTACAGTGATTAGAACTAAATAGAACTAAAACAGTGCCTGCACTGTGCTCAACACTTTGTGGTCTTGACTGACTAAATAAAGTATTTTAAAACCATTAAAACTGCCTTGACGAGTGAGAAACATTGCAGTAGTACATTAGTAGTTCTTTCTCATCTTAAATAGTAAAAGACAGTACCCTTCCCACAAGCAACCGAATAAGAGTAAGTAATTCAAGCACCTTTTAAACCTACACTTTCAAAACTAAAAATGCGAATTAAAATGTTCTTCGGCCCGGTCCACAGCAGACTGGAGCAGAGTGCGTATGAGAAGCAGCCGCTGTGCCCTCAGAGCCCTACTCTGATCCGGAACATGCCCTGGATCAGCTGCAGTCTGAACAGTTTACAGTTAGCGAAGCGCAGAGCAGAACAGGTGGTTTTGGACAGGTCTGTGGTCAACATGGGCTTGGTCCGGTGCCAGGTCCCAGTGCTGCGGCGAAACTCGCGGATGTAATCAAAACTAGTGCCTGTAGGATAAAAACACACACACATTTTGTAGTCTAAATCACTTTACTTTTTTCTAAATGTTCTAAAGTCTAAATTACCAGTGTCCAGGTCTCCAACTACATAGATGTTTGGACCGATGGGAACTGCCCCGTACACAAATGAAGAGCTGGTCGGAATACACAGGTTTTGGTCGTCCAGCAACATCCACCTGAAAACATACACATCGTCTTTAAAAACAAATCCATATCCTAAGTTCTGCTTTAGCTGTCTTGGTTTGCTGCTCAGTGATTGGTCCAAACGGTCAAACTCATTGTTGGATGCAAGCTCAGTTTAGTCTCTGTATACACGGTCAAGTTCTGGAATCAGCAACCTAAAATCTATCTATTTGCAAAAGTAAAGTAGCACCTTCTAAATTCATCGTGGTAAAATTCGGATTTGCAGGTCATCATCTGTCTCTGCTCTGGATTTTCGTTCTCTTGGCTGCGGACTCCCCCGAACACGTACAGCTCCTGTCCAATGCCGCACGCCACAGACCCAAACCTGGCAACACACCAAATGCACAGGCTGAGACAACAACTTCCAGAAACAGAAACAAAAAAGTCAATTTCGACGTATAATTCCTGGCATAAATCGTCATCTTCATGGCTTAAATTCTAGTTCTGTGTGAGGAACAAGACACTAGACTGGTTTCTGTGGTCAAATACATGACGTGCATCAGCATGATTGAGGCAACAGCGTAAAACCCAGTGTAAAAAAACCTAGGGCAACCTGAAAGTACCTTCTCTCCTTCAGTGGACACAGGCCAGTCCACTGCTGGGTCTTGGGGTCAAAGCACTCCACAGAGTCAAACAGTTTCCCATAAGAGCCTCCTCCCATAGCATAGATCTTCTTGTTCATCACAGCGTAGGAGCCGATCTGGAAGTCCACAAGTCCAAATTCAAAATCAGCGTTGTTTAGCACTTTATAACCAGTGTAGGAGTGTAAGCTAGCCTGGAGTTAGCCACCGGTAAAGTATGGTCAATTATCATTTTCCGAAATGTACGAAATGAAATGAGTACGATATGGTATGGAGAGACCAGGCTAGATGAAAGCAGTACTTTGAACAAGTATCTAGTTACAGAATACTGAAACCCTGCTTTCAAAAGTTTCAGAACCAGACTCAGGAATTCACATTTTGTAACATATTCCGTTGCATGGTCCAATCAGAGCACTGTATTTAAATAAAGGCTCTCTCATCTTATTTGTAAAACTTTGAATACTGAAAAAGATAAAACACATCTGCTTGCACTACTAAAAGTTACACTAATTTTTAATTTACCAAAAGAAATGGCATGCATTCAATTATTAAAATGGTTTTGTTACATTTTTTGAAAGTAACTATTCTGAACACCATCAAGCGAAAAAGTATTATTGCCTAGTACAGTAGTCCATTGTTTATTGCGGGGGTAACTTTCTCAAGGCAAATTTCATTATAATTAGGGACCACTGCGTAGGTTTCCTCCGGGTACTCCGGTTTCCCCTACCACTAAAAATATGTCCAATAGTTCTGGCATGCGTCTCCTGTTCGGCGACCCCGCTCCCATCTCTGTGGAGTGAGAGGACAAATGCCCAAAAAATAATTATTGTAAACCGCTTTGTGACTCTGGTCTGTGAAAGACGGTATATAAATAAAGATTACTTACTTACTTAATTACACTGTATTGTCACTATTATTCTGAATAACAATAATGCAACGGTTTTTATTTAGCACTTTCCAAGACACTCAATGACGCTGCACATGTCATTATTCTTTCACTCCATACACGATGGTGATAAACTGCTACTGTAGCCACACCTGCCCTGGGGAAGCGAGGCAACCAGTATCTGACCACCACCAACCATTCAAACACACACACACACCAGACTCATTCTAGGCAATGTGGGTGAAGTGTCTTGCCTAAGGACACAACAGCAGTTTTGCATTTTACAGCCACAGCCGCCCCACTGTGGCACCTGGTGTTCTCAGAGGTCTCCCATCACAGTACTAACCAGGCCCTGCCCCACACAGCTTCAGAGGTCAGACGGGATCTGGTTTTCAACCACAGCAGTAAAAGGGACCCTACCTTGCGGACCATGGTCATGTCCGTCTGCGTTTTCCACGTGTTAAAATGCGGATCAAATGCCTCCACGGAAACGAGCTCCATCACCTCGTTCTCTCCACCCAGGACGTAGATCAGCCCATCCAACTCAACAATACCAAAGTTCTGGCGAGCCTAAAACGGGTACAACAATTACAATGCATCAATAATATTATTTCATATTTGTGGTGGGACAATTCACTTAACAGTTTTACACAATGGGTAAAAAGATTTCTTTGGTATCTCACTCTCAGCACTTTGTTGACTGTAGATGTATGTGTCCTAAATAAATGATGTGTCCTGATAAAACAATGGTCTTTCAATGTTTTTGCTACACGCTCTCATATTTCTGATGAATGAAAACATCAAGACCAGGATCTCATTTCCTCATTTCCTCCTTTACTGTAGAGATATTCTGCTCAAATGGATTCGAGCTAGAGTTTCAAAAGCCAGCTTCGTATCCGGTGACCTCTGCACAGGAGGCTTCATTTCAGCTCTGACCGTCATCAATCATATGCACTTATTACAAACAGCCAACAGAGGGCGCTACATCTACATTTTCTTTTTTTAGAGTTTAGAAAATAGAAATATCTTGGCATTTCGTCCTAAAGCCAGCTATCCTCCCTTAACCCTAGTGCTATATTGCATCCATCCATGTTTTTGTATATTTAATGTATGTATTTATCAGAATCGGACCAAACAGGGACCTCAAAGCACTACTGCACTTCTGTGTTTTCTCCTGTAATATTAACGGCTTATTAACCGAGCGCGAGGTCTGTAGGAGAAATATCAGACCGCGCCGTGGCGAGGAATGTGCAAAAAGGCCAAGGTCTGATATTTCTCTGTACAGACCGAGCAAGCGAGGTTAATAAATGTTTTATTATATGACTCTCGTCTGTGTCTTTACCAATGCTTTCGAGATATTTGTGAAGTATGTTCACGTCCGACTTGGTTTTGAGTGATACGCGCTGCGGACAGATTGTCATGGTAACGGTCCGAGGAAAGATATCAAATGTGATACGCGCTGTTCGGACCAATTGTCATGGTGACGGTAAATATCAGACCGGTAATCAGCCAATCAGAGCGTGCGTATCGTCCAAGTCATATAATAATCCTTTTTATTTTTATTTTCTTTCATTCATGCAGATTTGTGACGTACCGCATCAAACTGCAAATTTCCCTTGGGACAATAAAGTTCATATTATCTTATCTATGTTACCAAAATCATATTTCTATGCAAGTCACTGCTGCTGTTTTGTTTCATGGCATGTATTATATCAATGACAATAAATAATCATGATATCTAACCCCATTCTTAACCAATTTGACTGTTCTTAATCCCATCTTTAACCTGGTTGCGAGGCTTGAATATTTATTTTCACCAGGGACAAAATACCAAGATTTTTTGTGATTTTGGGACGTTTAAAGTCTTTCTCTAGGGTTTCAAACAAAAAACATGACATTTCAAACTCTGATCCCTTTCAATATCATGGGATTTTAGCAGCTTTAGTGACATCCAGTGGCAACACAAAACAAGTGCAAGAACAAGGTCACAAATACTATGATCTATGACTGTACAAGTGAGGCCAAACTAAATCTTAATGTCCTGGAGTGTCTGTACCTGTAGCATTGGAGGCACTGGGCTCCAGCTATTAGAATCGGGATCATATTTCTCTGCGGTGTCCAGTATCGTGCCGTTTTCATCGGTCCCACCCATCACAAACAGGAAACCCTCTGGACACACACACACACACACACACACACACACACACACACACACACACACACACACACACACACACACACACACACACACACACACACACACACACACACACACACACACACACACACACACACACACACACACACACACACACACACACACACACACACACACACACACAGAATCTGACGTTTGAGAGATATGCATGTACAGTATTTGTTGTATATGTATACGTTTATGTCTACAAGTTTTTACTTCTTTCCCACTCCATTTGGACCTGACAAAATGTAAATAAAACTGCATTTGTAGATACACATTGAAACACATGGTGAAAATATTGTTGCTTGATTGTATATGTATGTTTATATATTTGCATGTGTAGGTATATACTGTAAGCACAGAAGGCAACATTTAAAAAAAGGTCATGTAAGCTAAGAAATGTAAATATTGTAAATGAATGTAAAATTTGTGCTCGAATGAATGAATGAATCAGATAATGTGTGTCTTGAGTGTAGTATTAGTGACCGCACAGCACTGACCAGCAGACACCATTCCATGTCCCAGTCGGGGAGAGCTCATTGGCTGCAGCTCTATCCAGGCTTGTCTGTTGGGGTCGTAGAGAGGGCACATGCAGCGGGTCACAGCGGTCGCCTTCCGGGTTCTGAACAGAAGATGACGTCAAAATTTGTCCGATACCAGGTGAAAGAAAACTGGTGCACACTGGGGTTGTCTTGCACAATTTTTCCAATGTGGTTTTACTGCAAATGGGAAATCAATTCTTGAATCTTGAAATCACAACCTTCCGAAAAACCTTTAGTTTAACATAGCAAAAAAAAAAACCTGTCATTCCTGGACCAATCCACAAAAAAACAAAAACTGAGACAGAGAAATTGTCTTTGTCGCTACATATTAATTATTATCCAACTGTTTCCTGTCTCAAAGTGGTGACAACATACAAAAAATGCAACTTTCCAACATAATATAACTACTAATAACTTATACATTGGAATTGGAATGAAATAGATGTTTGTGTTTCAATAATTTACAGATTGCTTCAAAAACACAGTGACAGATGACATGTTGATACACATTACTGAGGGAAAAAAAACAAATATTGCATTTAGAATCGATCTCCAAAACCACCAATTCTTTCCTCTAAATGCCAACTGAAACAGAATTCTACAACATTAACGCAACCTGTCGCTCCAAGGTTAATACTAAAGTGGTAATACTAAAGTCTAAAAAAGGGGTTTCAAACCGGTTCCAGAAAGGGCAGGTTTTAGTTCTAACTGGAGCAGGAGCACAGTAGAGGGTGGAGTCTGCTGTGCTCCTGCTCAAATTGGAACAAAAAGCTGCAGCTGCACAGACCCTTTAAGGACTGGTTTTACCCTCCTGGTTTAAAACTATCAAATTAGGGCTGTCACTCTGTCAAAATGAGAAAGTATGATAGATTTGATATAGATTAGGTGTTTTTAAAGTCAGCTATTCTTTGGTCGATTACAGGCCTGGGTCAAATAATAAATCCAGCTCCATTGAATAAATGTGCTTACTTGCGATCTTCTCCTCCAGCGATGACAATGCACTCCGAATATCCCCGAGGTTTAAAGGAGGCCAGCATCGCCTCTCCCTGAAGCTGCCCAGCTCCTAAAATAGACTGACAGTGTTCTCGGACCACCTCTCTCATCAGGGGCTCACCCAGCGCCTGAAGAGATAACAACAAATAAACCAGAGGAAAAAGAAGATGGTAGAGGAACACTGATTTGTATGAATTTATAGAATAATAAAAAATCACAATACCTGCTCTCTGAGATAACCAAGGTCTAGACCCTGCATCCAAACAGAGGACATAATCTCCCTCATGTGCACCTGCAGTTCACATACAAACATATGAAGCTTTGATCTGTGTTTATTCATTGTAGGAGATACAGTACAGTAGAAGGGGACTCACCCTGCGATCCTCCGGGTCATGGGCAAACCACCGCACCGCCGCTTCCAGCACATACTTCTCATTGCCTACGTTCAATTTCTCCATAGAGAAGATCTCACAGAGCCGGTCATGAGGCAGCTCCCTAAACTCCTCTGTTAGAGCCACGTCTCTGAAGTGTGTCTGGAGGAACTCAGTGGCAGCATAGTGGACATGATAGAGACAATAATGAAGCGAGAAGAGGCGGATACCGATGCAGTTCTCAGCAGTGATGCAGCTCTCCAAAAACTGACAACACAATAACTTGAGGTCAGTCATTAGCAGCAGGTCTGAGGCCTGCACCATGTCTTGGACCATCTCCTCGCTCAGTGTGATCTGTGGAACAAGGACATATATTTTCCTCAGAAATGATGTAATAGAACGTATATATGTACAGATGATGGGTGAGAAACCTTCCTTTGCTTTGACTAATCCCTGTACGACTGAGGGCTTACACAAACAGAACGTATATAATCTAAAAGACCTCATAATAAACACATAACCATCTATCATGAGCACGTTCTGATATTAGTTCTGTTATGGACTTGGTGCAAACATATTTAGAAACACGGCTTTGCTCTTACTTCACCACTGAAAATGTAGTCCAGGATCTGTTTCATGGTTTCCATGGAGACGCCTTGGAGCTCTATCCTGTACATAGAGCCATCTTCCTTTGGAGGATTGTAATTTAACTTAGTCCTGGCAAAACACAAATATGACAATTTATGACAGTAGGAGACACACCCATGTTGCACTTACACCACAAATATCATTGAACCATGCCTGTATGAGAGCATAATGGATCCTACCGAACGTAAGGACTTGCCGCAGCCAGGATGTTCTTCTGAACGGGAAGTTCCTCTCCGTCCACCACCAGCAGGGCATCATGGAAGCTCTTCTCCTGCCAGAAGGACCGCAGCACCTGGAGCAGTTTCTGAGAGTGCTGTGGATCAGACACTTTGGAACCCGAGTCGGGCATGTCTAGGGCTGTGCCTGACTTCAAAAACCTACATGGTAGAAGTAAAGAAGAACGGCAAGAACTAACAATAATTACAATCAGAACTATTAGCCACAAATGTTCATTTTGTAATCGACGGCAAAGGGTGTGTTAACGCGAAAGGCAAGGGGAACCCTCATATTTACAGTCTCTGGTAGAGAAATATCACTTTTCCACCTGGCTAAAGCTAATAACAAGGCTAAACAAACATGCTTGTTATAGGATCACAGTTCTCTTTCGAGGATCGTTCTGTTAAAGCTTTCTCACCGTGTTAAAACGTGTCTTGTGGTCCAGCCCAATGCTGTGCTACTAGCATGACTTGAATCACTGCGGGGAGGAGAATGTTGGAAGAGGGCGTGAAGAATTGAAGTCAAGTGTGATTTTTTACTTCGTTACAGATTTCCAAAATATATTAGAAATGTTTGGTAATTATACGAATATGTGTTGGGTATGGCGTGCTTACAATGACAAAACCGAAATCTCTAGCATCAATTTAGTTATCATGTAATGTAATTTTCCAACACAGGACAGGAAGTTACCCTTTGACAGCAGAACCAAAACAGTAAGATTTTCAAAATAAAATATACGACAATGAATCACAGTGAATGGTTCGTATTTTTTTTCTAAATGTGAATATCATAGACTATATATATTAGCTGCGAATACGAGTGGGCAGATTTGAAAACATAAAATAATTTCTATAACAAAGTCGCAACGTTCTTTAGTGGAACTATTGACGAGAAGCAGTTTTTTTCTGACGGAACGAAAACAGAAACGGACCATTTGAATAGAGATGCTCGCCCGCTGCAGGATCAATCCATGGATAGAGAAGTTGATCGTGAGTTTCGATAAAGATGAAAGTGCCAGTATCGGATCACTCAAAGCCCATGTCATCGGGGTCGGTCACATGTCGCAGTCGCAGGCGCTGGGCTCAGAGGGTCCCACTGGGCTCCTCTTTCTGTCCGATGAGCAGGTACAGATCCCAGCAGTCCTCACTGCATCAGCCTGGGAAAACCTCCAGGATCACGAGGATAAGGAGTGTTTTAATAGTTTGCTCAACACTACTGTGGGCATCCAGGATTATAAGATGCAATTTCATATGTCCTCGGAGCAGACGCGCTGCCGTTTTTATCTACTAGTGGGAAAGATGGTTACAACAGCAGCGGGGGTCCGGGACAACACCCCATCCTGTACTAGTCTACCTTCCGTCCGGAACAAGATCTGTGAGACTTGGCGTGCTATGCTGCGCCAACAGGATGACACTCCAAATAATGAGAGTGGGTTCAACCTTACAGCGCTTCTTGATGAATGGCAACACGACTGTCTGCAGACTGAGTTGGAGCACATCAGAGAAAAACTTTCTGCAAATCCACAAAGATCAATCTCAATAAACGCCACTGCTATGTCCGATCCTTGCACTGTCACTCAATGGGACGTTGACTCTGTCCACTTCAAGGGAATCAATTGCTTTTCTGTCCCAGTTCATCTGCTCCTTATCCCAGACAGTGCAGGGCAGACAAATCTACAATCAACAACACACTCAGACAATGTGACAAACTCACAACCAAAGCAATACCCAGAAATTCAACCGACATCTTTACCTGAAACTGGACATCAGAGTACCAGTGGAGACGGGCCTAATTCTATTGAATTTGCACCTTTTGTGTTGAGTGCTACTGACGTGGGGCACATGTCTAACCCTTGGGATATGTGTCCTCCTCCCAGCAACACATCTTCAACCAAGACCAGTCCTGAAGCCTCACCAGTTCAACAAAACCCAATATTCACCAAAGCCGTCTGCCCTTTGGACATCGGCTCACAGATTTCTTCCCACCCAGAAGGGTCCCAGAGAGAAGTGAGTGAATACTACTTTCTGTTTAGACATTTGGGGGATGCTTCATAAGCACATATTTCTGGTTGTTACTCTTTTGTAAATAGATAGTTGTTCCCTGGCTATGTTTAACATCTTGACTGTTGTCAAGCTCTACAAAATGTGATTTGACCACAAACTCACTAACACTATATCCTCATTAGCCCTCCATTAAAACAAACTGGGTTAGAGAGTTGTGTGCCAGCTTAGGCAGTGCCCTCAGCAGCTGCTTACTCAAACAAAATATCAACTCACTGGAGATTTAAAGATGATAGCAAACGTTAAAAATGGCAAATATCAATGTCGCCCTATTTTGACACTTTTGATTCTTATTTCTTCTGTCTTTTGATTCTAGATCACAGCGGAGCCCAGTTTGTTTCCACCATTTCAGAAACCCATTGCATCTACCACCTCCTCAAGTGCGTCTGCAAACACTCTGTCCAGCCTGTCTCGAGTAGCGAATCCAGGCTGCTCTGCCATCCAGGAATCCACCGACGGGCACTTTACCCAAAAATGTAAAGGCTCTTTGAGGTGCAGAAGTGTAGATGTGGATGTGAGTGTGATTTTGGATGAGGAAGAGCAGAAGGACCGCAGTCCTCCCTCGTGGCTGTTTGATTCTCAGAGGGGGGGCACATCTCAGCAGAACACTTCCCAGACCCAGGGGCCACCTGCTGGACAGACCAACACTGTGTATCCCTGTGTCCACGCCGACGGCAGACCGTTCTCCTACACCTACCAGGTCCGAGGCCATGAGCTGCTGCACTTCAGCAGCTTCACCGTGCAGCAGGATCTGCAGCAGTGGGCAGTCAGGTACTTGCTGAGACCAGCACATGCAGAGCAGATCAGAGACCTCTGAGCCCAGGATTGCACCGTCACACCACATCACATCAAAACTGCCAATTTGTTAGCAGTTTTGCCAACAAATTGGCAAAACTGCTCAATTTGTTCAAGATTGTTCAATGACCTAAAGCTCATCTTGTTTTCTATAAAAATAATTGGTAATGATGAGGACGTACACTATGCTGTATTATGTTTATTCTTACATTAGTATTTTTCACAAAAACATGTGATTGAATAACAATAATAACAGTACAATTCATACAATGCACAACAAATATTGTATTTTCTGCTTAGATCCTGGCAGTATATTGTAAATAATTTTGAGTTGGATTTTATATTTGATCATCTCCTGTGCACCCAAACAAAAGTTGTCCTCCTGTTTAAGATTTGATCAATTAAAGTTAAAACTGCAAACATGTTTTTTTCTGACTTTCAAACAGATTGTAATAGTTGTGCACTAATGTTGATAATGATCTGTTTGCGCTGTACAAAAGTAAATTGTCCTATAATAAAAATGTGTTGTTTGCATTTAAGGCATTTGATGGAACTGTCTTTCAACACGTTTTAGTAAATTAAAACATTTAATAAAAAGGATCAGTCTAATATAAAACATCTTGTTTGACATGCAATCATGAATGAAATGTTCTGAGGCAGCTTGTTCGTTCTATTGCTAAAAGCTCATTTGAACATACATTTGTCATATTGCACGATGATAATTCTTGCAGAGCAGCAACCTGAATGCCAGAGTCTGTCCATTTAAATGTCTTTGTTCCAAACGGAGAAAATTATTGATCGAGGTCAGGTCAAACACATCCAGAGTGTCGCTGAGCAGACTACTGAAACGTGAGCGGCAGATAAGAGCAGAGCGGGAACCCCAGCTGGGACAGGGTCTGCCTGGACCCAAAGAAAAGGGCATCCCCGGACACGCGGTTACGCACAGGTGCGTCTCTCTTAAGGATGCTCTCAATGCTGAAGCACTTGGACTTGTCTGTAGCTGGAACGTCCCGCTGCGCTGTTTGTGTCCTGTCTGTGCGCTCCGGGCCCCTCGGCTCCTGAGCGGCGGGGCACTTGAGCCTCTGCGCAGGTTTGTGTGCACTGTTCCTGGCTTTTCTCTTTCGACGACGGTAATTCCCGTGCTCAAACATGTCTGAACAGGACGCATCCAGGGTCCAATAGCTGCCCTTGCCAGGCCGACCCTTCTCCCGCGGGACTTTGATGAAGCAGTCGTTGAGGCTGAGGTTGTGGCGGATGGAGTTCTGCCAGCCCTGCTTGTTGTCGTGGTAGAAAGGGAAGCGCTCCATGATGAACTGGTAGATGCCGCTCAGTGTGGCGCGCTCCTGGGGCGCGCTCTTGATGGCCATGGCTATCAGAGCGATGTAGCTGTAGGGGGGCTTCTGAGGGGGCTCCCGGCTGAGCGCGTGTCTGTCTGGGCCGTATAAGCACAACAGAGGGGCCCCTGGCAGCGCCAGCGCAGTGGGCCCGCGGAACAGCGCCATGGCTCTCCTCGCTCCGTGTGCGCGAAGGACCTTAATAATTGTCGTAAGTTTGTGTTGTTGACTTTGCACAGGGAAATAAATGGTCCATCATAAACATGTGTGTTCTCAGCCCACCCACATCCATTACACTTTCATTCCTCTTCGGAGCCAATGAACGCCGCTGTTTACAGAATTAGCTCTTGATAAGTCGCCCACCCAGCGAGAATCAAGCTGTGTTTATTTGGAAACATTTCCGGGCACCCAATACATAAACTCACTGATGTGCTGTTTGAAATCTCACGTCCAGCGCTTACGCGCTCTCACAGCGCACACACCCATACGCACACATTCAAAACAAGCAAACACGCCGCGCTCCTCTGGGCTGGCGTGGCCTCCCTCAAATCAAAACAGAGTGCAGAAAGGGGGAAATTATGGGCTACAAACTATTCTTTTGTCAGAATGTAGTTCCATGAAGTAAAACAAGAAAAACAACATATCAGGTTAGTTAATATTGTATAAGTAAAGGTTGTATGCTTCTTTCCCATTATTGGGAAGAAATGTTCACAAAATCTGGATTGTGTAAACTTTGACTACTTTTAATGCCCCAGTCCATGGTGCTCAGACTGTATATTTCCATACAAGGACAACACGGACAGTATTATTTGTATGTGGACTTGATGCTTTATGTTATGTATTTTCCTGTTTATAGGTCAGAGGGGGATTATAACAACTTTACAAGTGCACACAGCTGGGGAATGCTTACATCAGCACTTTTTTGGATAAACTGTTCTCCGCTTGTCTTTCTCGGACAGCTATTTAATTGAGAAATAACGATTGCCAAATGCTACACTCATAGACTGCACTACACTCAGTAGGACTGCTGGTTTCAGCTGATCAATGGATCCCTTGAACACCAGATTTTTCAATTAATGAAACTGTTGCCAAGTCCCATTTTAGAATACGAATATATTTAGAGTTTGAATGACAATGCTTGTTGTACATTCATGGACAGCTCAATCTTGCTTTATTTTCAATATTTTCTTTATTTTCATTTTGAAGAACAGGATTTTCCATGGTTGAAATCTGAAGCCCCTTTTTTGTTTAATTTTATACACTTGACTTGTCCAAATAAACAATTTGAGCTGATTTTCCGGATCCTGAGGACACTGTTGAAAATGCATCAGTGTCAGAACAGTACAGCAGCGACACACTGACCAGTCCACTCTGGACAACAATCTGTAAATGAAAAACGTTCTGCTGGAAAACCTGTAAATACACTGAGCACACAAGCGGAGGAGAGTTTTAGACTCTGTAAATGTGACGGAATTATGGCTGCTAAAATGTACAGTAGTATCACCTGCTGCTAATATGTACAGTAGTATCACCTGCTGCTAATATGTACAGTAGTATCACATGCTGCTAAAATGTACAGTAGTATCACATGCTGCTAAAATGTACAGTAGTATCACATGCTGCTAATATGTACAGTAGTATCACATGCTGCTAATATGTACAGTAGTATCACATGCTGCTAAAATGTACAGTAGTATCACCTGCTGCTAAAATGTACAGTAGTATCACATGCTGCTAACATGTACAGTAGTATCACATGATGCTAACATGTACAGTAGTATCACATGCTGCTAACATGTACAGTAGTATCACCTGCTGCTAAAATGTACAGTAGTATCACATGCTGCTAACATGTACAGTAGTATCACATGCTGCTAACATGTACAGTAGTATCACCTGCTGCTAAAATGTACAGTAGTATCACATGCTGCTAACATGTACAGTAGTATCACATGCTGCTAACATGTACAGTAGTATCACATGCTGCTAACATGTACAGTAGTATCACATGCTGCTAACATGTACAGTAGTATCACATGCTGCTAACATGTACAGTAGTATCACATGCTGCTAACATGTACAGTAGTATCACATGCATGTACACTTAGCATCATGTGACAGTGTGAGTTTTCCTCTACTGGATATTCACTTATCTCATTCCTACAGTTCTAAAACTTGTGATACAACACTGACATTTCTACACTGCGGGACAAAAAAGGGATCTCTTCATCTCAATCTTAATCAGGTGGCCATGTATTTGAAAGCCAGATAACGTCAGACCTATAAAGCTAAGCAGGGCAGGGCCTGGTTGTGGTTAGTATGGTGATAGGAGACCATGGGAACACTGGGTGCCACAGTGGGGTGGCTACGGCTGTAAAGTGTCAAACTGTGGTTGTGTCCTTCCTTCACCTACCAGCCTAGAATAAGTTTGGTGCATGCATGAATGGTTGGAGGCGTCGATGGCACATACTGGTTGCCACGCTTCTGTCAGGGTGCCTCAGGGCAACTCTGGCTACCGTAACAGTTCATCACCATCGTGTATGGAGTGAACAAATAATGACATGCGTCTTGTGTGTCCAAAAAAGCACTGTATAAAATTGATGCAATGTTGTTGTTATTATTTTGAACACTTCACCTGGATGTGCACATGTGTGGGGGTCCAGCACATGTGACATCAGCAACATCATCATCATCAGCCTGCCCTATGAGCTGGATGGATGACGTCCAGGCTTACACTTGGTCCTGCAGAGTCTGCAGTGGTGTGTGGTGCCTGCCTGCTTCAAACACACTCCTAATCCTAGTGTTTGTTATATTTTTTCACTCCCTACATAAACGGCCCACACTTGTCAAAATAGACACTCAGCACTGGGCCAGGCCAGAGCAGTGATGAAGACGAATGGGCCTCTCTCGAGACACACGAGCGACTAATCAACTTTACTTCACTGGTACTGGCCTTCAAACACAGCGTTACAGCAGGCTCCACAGGTCGCACGTGTAAGAGGAAAGAGGCTGTGGGATAAAGACGTGCCTTTGACAGAGAAACCAAAGAAAACACCTGGTAAAGTATTTAGTAAGTAAGTAAATAAGTAATGTTTATACCGCATTTTTACAAACCAAGGTCACCTAAAGCGCATTAACACATTCATTACATTCATAGCTATTGTGCATGTTTTTAGTGGTAGAGGAAACCGGAGCACCTGGAGGGAACCTATGCAGACACGGGGAAAACATGTAAACTCTAGCAGTAGTGTACTTGGCTCTTACTAAAAGGTTTGGACACCCCATGATCTTGTATAGTGCTGAATAAATTGAAATGTATTTGTATTTGTCATAACAGAAAGTAAAATAAAAACAAAATAATAATAGACTCCTCAAGACAATTGTTGTTGGACTTATATATTATTTTACTTTTTTCCCTCAAGCAGTTAGTTTCCATAAAAAAAGCAATTCAGTTGTTTAACAGTTTTCCTACCATAACATAACATAATCACAAAATGGAGCTGAAATATGCACAAATCCAGTGTAATAGTTGAAAATGGGGTTGAACTTTTTTTACTTTCAAACTATCAGCGCTACACAAGCTTCTGACATTACAGACAGCAATGGAGGGGTCGTGCGGGGGACTAGTGCAAGAATACAAAGAATGGATTTTTTGAAAGAACATCTCGAGACATCAGCGAGGAGTTTGAAGCTTTGGTTGAAGATGACGGTTCCAAACGTTCACAGAAATGGCTCGAAGGAAACATTGGAGAAGGTGTAGGAGTGACCATCTCAGCCCTGACCTCAACCTGATTGAAAGAAAAGCAGGTACAGATAAGAAACCTGACTCACAGTTACATCAGTTCTGTTAGGAGGAATGGGTCAAAATTCCACAAATTGACTGTCACAAGCTTGTGGAAGGCTACTCAAAACGGTCGGCTAAATTACACACTTTAAAAGCAATTCTACCAAATACTAACCTTGTGTATGTGAACCTCTGACCCTCTGTTGTTGTGATGTTAACTATAAAAGTGAAACAATTAACATTTTCTTTCTATTTGACTAAGATAGAGATGAAGAGATCCTGTATTTGTCCCACAGTGGGGAAATTTCAGTGTTGCATCACAAGTTACAGAACAGCAGGAATGAGCACACAGCACAGGATAATTTAAATGGACACAGCTCTGTGCTAAATTAAATAACATAAAAAACCTCTATCTGAAGCATAATAAAGAAGCAGTCTATAATCTATAATAAGAAGAAAGAATTAAGTACAAACTCTGACTTTAGCATAATAAGTATGAATCTTGTATATTCTACTTGGATTAAATATCAGGAGTTGCAAAAAATCTGGGTGACCATTTTTATTAACGTAAACTGTCTAAGTCTGGAAAACTTAAAATACAAGAGCCCTAGGACACTGAGATGTATTGAAGTAATATTATACAAGACTATGCATGTCTCAAGTACAAATATTGACTTTAGATAGTTTCACTGAATGAAGTCAAACCCCAAATACACAGAAACACCATCCTCACAAAACTCTGTGATGTATATTGTTGGATGTTTTACCCAAACATTGAGATCCCGCTTGCATTGTCAATACACAAGATGGTGATTGCTGTATAAAAAGTCAGAAACAAATATTTATTTAACCCGTCGTGACATGCGTTTTTCCTGCATGCGCACAGATCTCCCTAAAAGTCCAGTGTGAGGATGTGTCAGGGCGGGCTCAGACCTCAACCTCTCAATGCGTCCGCAGCTTTGCTTTGTCCAAGTCTAAATAAACAGCTCCATCTCACAGCGGGACCACCCAGCCCTCCACACCATTCACACTGCTCATATTCTGCAGACATGTGCGACATACAATATATACCTACATAATTCAATATGTACTCACAGCACACAACATATGATATAAACAGTATTACTGGAATATTAAGCACACCTGTAGAGAGATAAGAGATCAAATAGATAGATTAGATAGAAAGATGGAAACAAAAAAATAGATAAGATTAGATAGATAACTGTTGACACATGATTAAAGCACTCTAGTAAATCCTATTTTGACAAAAAAAAAAAAACTTTTTATCCCAACTAAATTTTGATGGAGTCAAAACAATGTTGCAAAAAAAAAAAAAAAAAAGATAAAACATATAGTCATTTTAAATTGGAGCTTACAAAGAACAGTCCATCAAGCACTGTACTTTATAATATTTATTAACAGCATACAACATACAATATACTTACGTGATAATATCGATTAAAAACATATCTCAAAATGCAGTATAGCCCATTGTCCGTCTCAACCAATATTAAGTAAGAGGTTCTTAAGAGATCATTATGTACTGTGGACTTTTATACATGTCTACATTTACCAGAGTATACTCAGACTTTCGCCACCTCTGACATAAGACACATTACACATTAACCATGTGACTATAGAATGCCTTTGAGGCAGGATAAACACATCAAAGGGGAAATGACAAAAATAAACACTTGCATGATTCATGGAACAGTTAGACACGGAACAGCATGGGGAAGAGCTCTGTGCATGTGTGGAAGTCTGATGGGGACAACCGCAGACACGGACGCATGTTCGTCTGTTTTATCAGTCCTTATATGCTGTGTTACACTTATTTTGTAATTCAAACAAACTCCTCGTAGCTTACTGTATGCAACACGTACTGTATGTGCTCAACACTGACCTGTCCATAATCAGACATGATGGTATATTGTTCTCTTGAGCAGAGCGCTAGGGGACATCTGGACGCACTTGAGGGCCCCTGTTTGGTTCTGGACTTCATTAAAGTGTGCGCGACGCTGCTGACGGCCCTTTCACAGCTCATTACGCGCTGTCCAATCAGAGGCTGCAGCGCGCCTCTGTTTATTTAGGTTCAGAAGTGGAAATAGCAAAAGCCCAAACACTGGAACACTTTGCCACATTGTACAGTCACAAACGAGGCCCATCTGCACCGCCATATGTGCACTATACATCCAAGTAAAGTAAGTATTATTTTATGTTTATTCACAGATTATTGACTACTATACAAAAACAAAGACAATGATTGATCTATTCTTCTATTCTTAGAACATACGGTTTTAAATAAAGAGACAAACATCAACGTCAAAATAATTTTATTACAGAGTAATAGTCAAGATTACATAATCATCCATGCAAACTGGAAGCATGTACAGATTAGAAATATCCACTGATAATAAATACAGGCACTGTCCAGCAGGGGGCCTAATCTCAGCTTTCTGAAGGTGATAATGGAGCTTTGAGTGTTGGTGGCAGTGTTGTAAAGAGTAAGGAATGTCGTGATAAGATCTACTTGGTTTATGAAACATTTACGATTCGTTTAGTCATTTCCAAATTATGATCTTTCTTAAAATTCCATAATTAATCACCAAACAACACAACACATGTGCAACAGAGCATGCACCATCCACACAAGCTCAAACCACAAACATTCAACGGTAAACAATGTAAATCGTGCAAATGTTGATGACAATAGGGAAAGATCAAATTTTCAGATTATTGATGGATTAGTTTTATAAAAATCTTTGCACTTTTTATAGAAATATGTATGATTTGCATTACAGGAATTATTGCACAGCGCTATAAAAGCATTAAACACTGATTATGACAAACACACAGGCAGGAAGTATGGAAAAGATCATTTACACCTATAGAAGACAGACACAATCAAGAGGACAGACAATAACAACCAATACATTGATTTAAAAAAAAATTGAATTTTTTTTCCCCAAATTCCTGTTTTGGTTTTGAGCTTTTAAGATGATTGCATTTATTAACTAAATTATATTTGGCATTTCGTGCTTTTTTTTGGGAATATTTAACACGATACAATAACTGTTTAGACTCACTGCAACTGCATACACACATGCATAAGCCCCATGATACATACTGAGGTAAATAGTGAATAAATGAATGGATATGCAACGCAGAAATAAAAAAGGTGCTTTGAGAGTGGAGCTGTTCTCCAAATCACACAAGTCCAGGGAATCTAGGATATTTATCTATATATATATTTAAAAAAAACTTAAACAAAACAAAAGCTATATTAATTATTCACAATTGAGCTTTGTTTTGTTTAAGAAAAGTATATTAATTATACATGGCTATAGTTTTCAACACATGACTAAATCCACAAACACGACTTCATTATTATTAACGCAACACGCTGCTGGCCCCTAGAGGCAGCAGAGCGCAGTGCACAGACTAGATTACATATGGGGAATGTACAGAAATCACATAAAATAAGGCGGAGGAAGTGCAACATGAATCACAAACGGCATAAAAAAGAAAATACTCGGCTTCAGGGAAGAGCAGTGAAGTGCATCGAGCCACTGACTTCCACTGAAGGCACTTTTATGGCACGGACAATACTATGAAATCAAACTGGACGGAAGCAAAGACAAGGACTTCGGAATAGTTTGGGGTCCACAACAGCCACGTTACAGCAGTAATCCAGCTAAAAGTCACTAAAAGGTAAATCAGCTGCCAACAGAACATCGCCTCGAGTCGCAAAAGCACTGTTTTATCACTTGTCAGTCATTGTAGCAACTAAACATAACGAGAGAGTATGAATTAAAGTTAAGTTTGATCACTAAGCAGAACACTAGGCACGTACTGCGCAAGAAAATACAGTCCACTCTTTGTCTCAGTATACACACAGACACTCTTTTGCTTCCCGTGGCAAAAAACAAAAATAAAAAAAGTCTGTGTCGGGAAAAAACAAAAACCAAAAGTAGTAGTGCGCAAGAAACAAGACTGCCAACCTCTCTGCCAGTACGCACGAATCACGCACTTTGACATATGGAGCTTTGAGGGTGTTGTTATTGGAAAATTCGAAAGGATTAATAATGGAAAGTATGATTATCAGTAGAATAATGTGCTGCATACAGTCCGTCGTGACACAGTGATGAAGCGACTTAAGAGACAGGATGTTATTGCTATTGTCTAGTGTACTTTTAAAGCTGCCGCACACCACATCGAATAGATAGCGTACGCACAGAAGTAACAGGTAATAGTGAAGTACGCAGCATGGACCTCGAGGAGGGTATGGATCATTATTACTGGGTCTTATTGCTTTGTGCAGAGAGAATGCTACAGAACAGCTCACAGGGACGTGACTGTGGTCCAGGTGCCTGGGTCCATCACTCCGCCGCCATTTTCTCGATGTGCTCCGTCAGCAAATTGTACTGCTCTGCGCAGAAGAGAAAAATAAATAAATATCATAATTCTTTAATCATCTCATTCTCATGCTCTTAAATGATAACTAGGTATTAAAACACATAACTTAGAGAGGATACTGGGTCTTGTTTTCATTAACATTGAATAATTATTTTTGGCCATATTTCTCCGTAGGCCAGAGCACTTTTAAACATTTGCACGTAAAGAATCTGGTGGTTGATCCAGTATGATTTGAAGAGAAAAAACAAAAAAAATAATAAGGTTTTTAAAATGTTAATCAAATAAGAAATAATACGTTAGTTTAGAAAATATCCATTCACTCTGGCTCTGATCTAACACTATAATTTTGATTATACATATTTATTTGTATAGCACTCAAAAACAGTTTCACAAAAGCTCTGGTCTTGCAGAAGTAGTTATAATAATAAAAGACAGTTCTCTCATCACAGAACTAACCAGGCCTTTCCCTGCTTAGCTTCAAAAGTCTAACAGGAGCAGGTGCAAAGTAGAACACTAGGTACGTACAGCGCAAGAAGCAAGACTGCTAACCACTCTGCCAGTATGCACGAATCACGCACTCTGACATATGGAGCTTTGAAGGGGGTTGTACTTATGATATTATTGTATCATAAACTGCACTAATAGTATTGTATAGTATGGTTAGCACTAGAGTAAATGTAGCATTTATGATTTAAATACTGGATACAACAGTAAAAGTTGTAGAATAGGCCTAATTATGAAACAATGTTGTGCTTTGAACCTGATACGTACGTTTGTTTTTGTTTTGTTTTTTACCTTCATTCAGATTTCCTATCACAGCCTGCTTCTTAAGAAAATCGTTGCAGAGCTTCTTGCTGAGCCCAAATGCCAGCATATTATGAGTGAACGTTCTACAGGAGGAAACACATCATCAAAATCAAATCATGTCAATAAATGAGTAAGTATAATTGGACTGTAGTCATGTCGGATGTTCTGTAGATGCTTACCCCAGCTGACCAAAGGCAATGTTTTCATCTATCTTGGAGTTGTCGTCCCTTTCCTGCTGGCTCATGTGACACCACTTCTCCCTAAAGCACAAACCGTTACGATGCGTTACAATTACAGGTGTATAGCAGACCTTCGCTGGCTCGTGGACAGACAGCGGACCAAACAGAACGAAATAATGTGAATACAAATGCCCAAGACCACTGCGTTGCATCCTTGAGGTCGGAATGGGATGCAACTTCACATGGAAACTGACAAAGAGGCAAAAAATAACAGCCAGACCCAACCACCAGAAATGCATAGACGTGGGAATAATGACACAGCCCACATCTCCTTCGCCGTCAACGGACTTCCCACGCCTTTGCAGAAATGAATCAGATGTAACATATAAATAAAAACGATTTTGGGTTCATGGATAAACGCCAACATGAGTTAAGCATGACAGACCAAACCTTAATGAAAGCAGTAAGAGACTAAACCTTAATTAAAAAGCATTACGACTGTCATTCTGCACTGATTTTCTATCCGAGTCCCAAAGTGCAAAGCCTCCTGTGGTTTAGACCATGCTGCTCGAGCAGATTGAGAGATGAACATGCTGTGAGACCTGGCTTCGAACCAATCAATATATTCATATATTCATTATTTGTGGAAAGAATAGATTGACAAGGAGAAGGAAAAAAAGAAATAAATCAATAAGCAGCCTTGCAGTGACTGTTATGATTGTGGGTACAATGACGACAAGAACATGCAGGTTTCCGAGCGACATCACAACAACAGAAGTGCTGATGTGGTTTTCGCCTGTTCAGAAACTGTGTGGACCTGCAGCTGGTGAATATACATTTTATTTTATTTTCTGTGTGAAGCTGAGACAGTTCCCAGTGCTGGAGGTTTGAGCCGGGCCCTGTTCACTAAAGCACACACTCTATTCTTAACAGCCCTCCTCCTCCCTCACACATGCAGCGCCTCGTTCGGCTTCTCAACTCTCTGAGGGCAGCGGACATTTAGGACAGACCTCTCGTTTTGATCCTGTGGTCCACTGCCCCGCAGCAAGGCACAAAAACAAAGAGTCCGATCAGCAAGTGTACAGAAACAGAAGAGGCCATAGAAGAGATGATAAGAGGAAGACATTTTCAATTGCATTACATGTACAGTGTATCATGAAGTAAACTGTAAAAATGACTTTATATTATCAGAAAACAAAAAACACCTAAATACCACCTGCAGTGCACTTACATCGATTAGATTTTAATTCTGATAACAAAGCTTCATATGGTCTACATGTGGGTTTGATGGTCCAGTGTTGCAGCTCACCTGGTGGTTGGAGACCTCTTCCTTCTCTCACAGTGAACTGCGTCAAAGAATGCTGCGTTCCAAAACCTTAGAGTGTGCCTGAAAAGAATAATAAATAACCTCTCACTTTAATAACATCGTCTTAACGTTATACATTCTTTGTTCATGTGACTTACCAAATGGGCTGCTGCTTCAGGTGGGTGTACAGGTACACTTTATCCCCTTTCTTGTCTTTAGGACAATCTGACACTGAAGAAGCCAATAAATATAATCATCCAGATAACAGGCATTTAAGAAAAGTGAGAATATTGTGATCTCGATTAAGTTTGATGCACTACCTGGGGTTGTCGGCTTTTCCACCGGACTCCCTCCCTCCCTGAAAAGCAACAAGAAAAACAAAGGCGCGTTAAAAGGTCTGCAGCATTCAGTGTTGGGTGTAATTTAATAAATGTTTCAATTAAAAGCATTACTTTGACATAACAATAACAAAGGTTTATTGTTATGTCAGCTGGGCTGGGAGTATATACATATTTATGTTTCATTTTGCCAATCTGTTTTACTCTAAAGTTGCCCTTTATAAAATAAAAAGTATTTATAAAGGTTGTTTGCAGTGGTCTTACTCAGTCTTTGTCATGGAGCTCCTCAGTTTACTCTCTAACCCTCCGAAAAAGCCTTTTACATCAGACTTGGACGTGGTCTTCAGCAGGCGTTCAGCCACGTCCCTTTTCCCGGTGAGCCACGAGTTTGCTTTATTCAGATACGAGTCGAGGGGAGGAGCGCCTCGCTCCAGCAGCTCTGACGGAGCTGGGTGCAGTTTTCCTGCTCACACAAGGAGTCATCAGAATGTATGTTCAGTTCAATTACATTTTTCTCTTTTGAAAAGTAATACACTGATCAGCATGAAGTGATGTAATAGGATAGAAATCAACCATTCAAAACTAAATATTTCTTTTGAATGGACAAAAGCAACATGACAAAAACAGGAAGATGAATGTTACACAAACAAGCTTAATTCAAAGATAAAACAATGAGGCATTAATGTGACAACAGGGAGTTTCCTGCACAGACTACGATGAGGTAAACAACACCACAAGCATGGCATCTATTTATTCATATGGCATCTGACTGCGGGATGAGCCTGTTGCTCTGAATGACTGATTTGTAGAAAATAGCCTAATATTGAGGATAGAATTTGAGACGTGAAAGTAAAAACAGAACAATATGGACAATATCTCATACCTCAATATCTAAACAGATATCTTGATATTGATACAATACAATGTAGCTATGGATTTGGTGAAAACTAAGACTTTTTTCTGACAAACTCCTGCCCTCCTCTGTTTGTCATTGGTTGGCTCTATAATATCATAGAGAGTGATTTACAAAATGCTCCCTCCTTAACATCTCAAATGTTACAGTCATATAGTACTACAACTAAGATGTTGCAATTGCCATATTAATACAAAATAAAAAATACCAAAAAGTGACCACAGCCTTGAAAAAGAACTCACCAATGTAATAGAACGTGAAGCACATGGTCATGAGGTTTTTTGCTGGTGTGTAGTCATCCATCTGGTAACATCTGCACGACAAAATTCTCATGAGCGGCCTCAAAAATGACTGCTGTTGGTGTTTTAGTGTGAACAGACTTACTCGAACAGCACGACAGCAAAGGACTGCACGAGGCGGTAGAAGGTGGACTCGTTCACACATTTGGAGTGGCACCGCTGCGAACACACAATGACACGTTTATTTATGAAACTGACAGCTTCACATTCATTTCTTGTCATTGTTTTGCCGTATCTAAAAAGAAAACACATTTGGCTGACCTGGGCGCTGACGTATTTGGCAAACCACTCTCTGCCTTTGCCGTTGTCTCCGCTGCACAGCTCTCCAAACCGGGCCTTCTCCTCCTGGTCAAACTCTTCTCTGTGGAAATGCAACATGTATAATGTGTAGTATGTGTCACTGAAAATATATTTAATAAATGATAATTGTTTATTGTAGACTGTATTCCAAGTAATTCCTTCTGTTTCTTTGATATTAGACTCCAGAAAGTAGGCTATGTCGCCACATCAGTTCATCTTTTCTCCCACTCGCTTCTGTGTGAGCTGCAGACTACTCAGGGTGAAGCTACAGCCACAATCACCATTTCCTCCATTTTTAGTCTTGTTTTAGATTTTATTAAATTGTTGGTGGAGTTGTGAGTGTTTGTCCACTGTACTGTGTCAGTGGAGCTGCTCTTGGATCAGTGACACAAGAAATGTTACAGCAATAGTTGAGGTTTGTTAAGTGGCAGGCGGTAGAACTCTTGCCGCACACATGTAGACTTTTAACTGCCCAAACACGTCTCACAATAGACAGACGGCGCTTGGACGAGTGAGAACACAGCTTTAAGATAATCTACCTTTGTTCTTCCCACAATCGGGAAATGTCAGTGACATATTTTGTAACCAGCTGTAGGAGACAGATCAGGGTACACTGGGCGTGTATGTGGTTAATGTGAGTGTGTGGCTCCACATTGGGGGGCGGGGCTCACGGGCCAGCGGGGCTAAAAGTGTGCGTGTATCTGTCAGGGCTGAGTGGGTAGCCGTATTTTTTGTTGACCGTTCGTTCGTTTGTTTATCTTTTATGTTTTTGTTTGCTAACATCAGGTCATATGTTACAGTTCAATATTTTGTTTGCTGCACCTTTTAAGTCAATAAATCACTTTAAAACGCAATACCTGATCAAGACTTCTTTAGCATAGGCTTCAAAACGCGCCATCACATTTACAGGACCCACTCTGACCGGCTCAGCGGCTCAGGTCTGCAGGAAGCCGCAACACCAGCCATAAACACGTTTGGCTTGCACTTACTTTCCATGGAAGAGCTTGTCCACATAGGCCTTCATGAAGGTCCTCCTCTCCAGTGCATCTGGGTCGGAGTCTTCTGCGCTGTGATTGGACGATGATGAGGAGCGCCTGGCATCCCAAGAGGGATCCATATCATTATCACTGTCAGCGGACTCTGTAGTGTCACTGTCTGCATTGTCATGGTGATGGTGGTGGTGGTGGTGGTGGGAGGCTTTTGTAGGTGCGAGGGGCTCAGGCAGCGTGTGCTGGTGCAGCCCCTTGGAGGAGGCCGGCTCTGGGGAGAAGATGTCCATGTGAGCCTGGTGTTGTGCCTCACCCACCGCGAGAGAGTTGGACTCAGATGGTAAATCAAAGTCTATGAGGTTGTCCACTGCCCCTTCCTCCATATTGGAACAGAAGGAAGTTTAGATCCTAGGACAGTGTTTGACAATGTGACAGTGCTCACACATCAGATGAACGCTTCTATGTTGGGTGTGGTATCTTCTCTCATCCACCAGGGGGATGGAGAGTGCCCAAAATCAGAGCATCTGCACAGATAGACAAAATGAGAAGTTATTAGTAGCATTTCAAAGCACATCATCAGGATATTACATTCAGGCCCACTGTTGTATTCAAACGTTTTGGAATTTGTGCCATTGGGAATATACATATTTATTGCACTTTTCTAAAGCCAATATCTAGAAAATATAAGATTCCCTTCTTTTTATAGCAGACAACAGCAGCTGAGCCCTTCTGAGCAATGTCTAAAACATGAGTGACTACTGTATTCTCTTGGTCAACAGTGATCCATTTTGTAATCCTTTTCAGTCCTCAGTTTTGTGGTACAATATTAGAAATATGTGTTTGTTCCTCCATGTTGATTCTCCATACACATGCTTACCAACAGAATGTTAAAACATGTATTCGGAGTTAGCTGCTCAGTCATGCTTATCCGGAGCGAAAGAATGTGAAAACAGGCCAGGGGCTGGTGTTGGAGCCATTGATAAGGGCTTCCTGAAAGGATGTTCTGTTCTTCCAAGCTTCATGAATACAATTGAATTGGTCTGCAAACGCAAAAAGCTATCAATAATTGAACGTTAGACTAAAATATATAATAATACTATATAATATATATATATATATGTACACAAAAATACATATTGATATTAGATGCTCCAAACCGAACTCGTACAAATGAGCACAACAAGATTTCATTTCTTTTAATTTATTTATAAGATGAAATAAGGCCATCTATCATATTGTTAAGGAGGACCATGTTTTAAGCAATAATTAAATAATAACCTACATTTTTTTACAATATCATTCAGGACTTCTTGACAGAAACTTTTTCAAATGTCAAATAATCATCCACAAGAAGGCCATGTTCCCTTCACCTCAGATCCAACTTTCTTGTTTCCATCACCACATTAAAATTACATCATGGAAGGTCGTCCCCTGCTCAGTGTTGTGCTCTGGCTTTCATCTCAGCATAAACAGGAAGTCCAAGTCATTGATCAAACACCACAAAAAGGGGAAATTCCTGTCACAAACCTCTGATGTCTCTCCCAGGGGCAGACGAGATGCACTCTCCTATATTCCTCCGTGTGAGTGTTGCTAAATAAAACCTGGGTCTATCACACTGCGGTACTGCCACCTCCCACGCATGCCTCCCCATATCCACTCCAAACACTATCCTCACTCAAATGCATTTAACGTCTCAATCCAATTATAAATATTTCCACATTTTGCACAGACTTCAGGTAACACAACATTTAAACTATATGTTGTCAACCCAGAATTTTAATCACCAGAAGAAGATAAAACAACTCTTGAGTAATCCCATGTTATTTGGAGTGAACAAAACCATTGAAAAAAGTAATTCGCTTAATCACTTGTTCCTTATACAAACTCCACATCTATATTCTCTGGTGGTGAAGAGGCTGACATTTGTTAATAAGATAAACTCCTGCCAGACCAGACCAGACCAGACCACCAGCTCCAGGGGCACAGCTCTGCACATTATGTAACTCGCTTCTGGGTATGACTGCAGCTGACACTTTCACAAACACATTACATAATTACAAGAAAAAAACTCTAAAAAAATCAACCACCACCAAATCACTAAACCAAATGTCGTGACTATTCCCCGATTCTTGGATACGAAGGAAAACTACCACATATCAAGCAAAACAATAATTTATTTTTTGGGACTGGGGACTTAATCACTCAAATAAGAATCACACACAATTGTAGCTTGTATCAGATATTCACCAATTTACAATCACACTAATCAAGAGTGTCAAGGGTTAAATATCCCAATAATCCTTTGCCAAAAAGACAGATAGGGATAAGTGTGAGTATCCTTTTAACTGAGTGATTCCAGAGGCTCTTTTCATCCCGAAGGGGAGGAGGAATCTGTTTAATTGTGCATTAGCAACAGCAGCTGAGGCTATGGCACAATCGCTGTGCAGATGGACAGCTCTGATTAACGTCCTCCGTTTCATCGCCACATAACAGAAACATCACAGACCAGAAGCAGTGTTAGGACTTTGAAACGGTGTCGGACATAAATCACACTCAAACTCATTACGCTATATCTGTGAAATGCGCAAAATATAAACAGATAAAGATAACTTAATGATGTTGTGGTAACAGACAAAAAAAAGAAGAACCTTAAATACTTTGTGTATCAGCCTGAAAGCCCCTTAATTAGAATAATAATAATTTGATGAATACCCACCTACTCAACATTGAACAACATTTATGGACATTGGTAATCTGCCCTTTATGGATCAATGGCTATAGTGTTTTTTATCATTGCATTCTTGTTTTGAACTTTTTGATTCTCTGATCTGTGTTGGCAAATTCAACGGTTTTGTAAAGTCCTGTTGTGATTTAGGGCTATACAATAATAAATAGAATTGAATTGAGTTGAGTTGAATGTAAGGTTCAAATGGCTATATTTTGGTACTAATACAAATCCTAAAGCATGTTTTTGCATTCATTTAATTTTGCATAATAAACAGCTGTATAATCCTGTATTACATCCAATAACAATTCAAGCTCTTCTACAGCATGATCCTTGCTGACTCCCTTACAGTCTCATCCATCGGGCCACTGGACTCACTTTGGAGTTGAAAATTATACGTTTCTTTCTAGCTAGCTCAAAAGGAACTGGAGTATTCCCAGTTGTGTCTAATTGTACTGATGCTGTGTCATTATCAGTGTCTGACTTTCTGCGCTCATGCCTCACAACAGTTTGCATATCCCTCCATTTTTTGTCTAGCTGCATTTCCTCCAGGCTCTCAGCAACTTGTGCGTTTCCTCTATCTGTAGCCTGACACTGGCGACGCAAGTTTAGTTGTGCTTTTAATCATAAAAGCAAAAGCCACATTAAAACCTTTACCCAAAAATCATAGCTCTATGTATGTAAGACCTAAACTCAAAACACACAAGGCTGAAATGAGAGAGGCTGCAGAATAGATACAGCAGGAGTCCAGCACAAGTGGCTGATGGGAGATAAGTCCCTGCAGAGAAAGGCCATTGTGGTCATCGACGGCGAACCTGCTATTCACAAACACATTGGCAACACCACAAATTATTGAGCAGATGTAAGATCCTTCACTTAACCAAGATGCAGAGGTCTCACAGTCACATACATACCTACTCCCTCTGAGCAATACTGACCACAAATTGCCACTTATTGTACATAAAAAAGTTCAGATTATTTTCTTACTACTTGTACTTGTTTACTTCCACATTTTACGCCTAGTGCTTTTGATATTTGTATTCCATTGTGCACTTTATTCAGATTAGCACACTGTAATCAAACTGTAAAATCCCAGGTGTGGCCAAAATGCGCAGATGGTTTGCGGAACATCGAGACCATTTATTATCTTATATACATTACAGTATACATATCATAAAACACCTTGTTGTCTAGCTCTTTCGACAACCAACTGTGGAGTAAAATGATACAATGGAGAACAATGTCCCTGTAGCAACCAAAAGTCAAAAAAAAATTGCTACTATAAAAGAATCACTTTCTCATCCATATGCCCTGAGAGATGATGGTTATAAACACAAAATAGGCACACTCCAAAAGAGACAGCTACAATAAACACAACCACTTGAACAAAATGTGATTAAGCGTTGTAGATTTAGGATATGCATGAACAAATTTTAAAGAGAGTTAAGGTTTACTTTGGTATTTGTATCTGACCAATCCTTCAATGCCACATCACTGGAACCCGCTTTGCCTAGGTTTAGTGAAGGATTTTTTTTTTTCTTTTCTTCCATGGGGTCTTGTTATTGAGTGGTGGGAGAAACCGGAGCGCCCAGAGGAAACCCATCCTGAGACTGGGAGAAGCATGCAAAAATTAAGGCTCGCGGGCTCACACGGAATCGAACCTATCTTACTGTGAAGTGTTACCAATACCAAATCAACGTCTCTATCCATGTCTGAGTCGGATATTAACAAAGCAGTAGAATATGTATTATTATGCCATACAGAAGTAAGACGGTGAGAGAGTTTGTGGAAATTAAAAATATGTGGATGTTATTTGTTCTAGATGTGATAATGTTTGGAACCCTCACCGGCCTGATCATGACAATACGAGTTTTATTTCCTTTGGGACAGATCACAAACGTTTATTTTGGTGTCTAAAATGAAATACCTTTAGAAATAGGCTGGATGAGGAGCCGTGGCTGTGGCGCAGGTTAGAGCAGTGTGCACTTGACAGCCGAGAGGAAACAGCGCTGAGTAAACACGACACGCACTGTTTCCTGTATGCGTCTCAGAACGTGACCGTGAAAAGTGTTGGGGACGAGGCTGTCTGTCATCTACACTGGAGCAGCCGTCTCGCATCTACAGCAGTGCATCTGGATCTTGCAAAAACATGATCTGAGATGGCGCTGACCGCTTCCATTCAAACGAACAGACATCATGTACATGTTACCTGCGCGGAGTCCAAATGCGTCCTGGGGCGAGCTGTGCAGACCCCTGGTGCGGCCAGAGGGGGGCCCCTGATGTGGGTTGAAGGGGACTACCTCCAGACAAACTGCGTCGAAGCCTTTCTGGACCGTACACTTCACGCTGGACTGAAAAAACAGCTGCGCATGCGCGTGTTCGGGAAAATACGACGTGGGGGACCCAATGACGCAGAGGCTGGGATAGCCAATCAGCGTGCTGGTCACAACTACCCGTATGTGTGCAAAACATTGAACCATGGATCTTTTATAAGTGTACAAGCCATGGATTTACTTGTTAAACCTAAGAGATGGCATTTGCCCTAAACTTAATTCCACTCCATCTTGTGTGTGCTGTTATATGTTGTTTGGTTTGCCTTTGGAAATGATCCAATATCACCTAATGGTTCAAAATAGTGTGTGTAATAATATTGTACTTTTTTATTTTCTACATAATACATTTTGATGAAAATGCATTGATAATGAAACAATGAATAACTGCAATTTCATTTTTCTATCAGTTACAACTGGTGATTGTTTTCAATGAAAAAGATGTGCCACGGCTCAAAAGGAGGGGACACTCAACACCGCAATAGAGCCATAACTTCTAACAGGAAATCATTATTAATTCAAAAGCGTTGCAAAAAATATAGTTTTCCTCTCTGACATTTTGAATGACCAACTTAATAACTACAAAGTACAATAAAAAGCAAAGCAACACCTGTCTATGAAATATTTCATAATTTTGCATATTATAGAGTCTATAACACTGTTGGTAGTACAAACAATATAAAGTGTATTCCATTCATGAAATTGGCATACGTAAAAACGTAAAAGAAATGCAATTGAACACCATAAACAATTATTATCCAACAGGAAAATACTTTAAAAAGATTTGGATTGAACATTTTTTTTCTTTTTTTGAAGGAGGAGAAAGCAGAGGGAATATTGTGACATAACTGCAAACTTTTGGAAAGTAGTATTTTTTGTTAAAAAAAATCTAAATGAATGAAGTTGCACATTTACAGTATGAACAAACGTTTTTTGGAAAAAATCTATAGATGATTTTGCATGATCATAATTGTGGTTAAATTCTGCTTAGACAAAAACAAATGGTATTTCATTCACAGTCATTATTAAAAAAACATACTGGAAATGTATGTTGTGATGATGTGATGATGTCATTTGTGGTTGTGTATAACTGTTTCTATTTTGCAATTACACATTTAGACAATCAAAAATGCATTCAATTTACAGTTAACCTTATACTATTACTAAACATTCTACAACAGATCGAAGGGAGAAACAACCGTCAATTCAATAATATCAGTACATTCAAATAAGCAAATCAATCCGTGGTTTTCTTTGCCGCAAGCTCCTGCAGTTTCTGAGGGAGCGTGGTAGTGATGAAATGCACGCGATGGTTCCTCAGTTTGTGTTTGACTGTCTGTGTGGGCCCCAGCTCCATATAAACCTGCTGCTCTCTGTCGTACTGAGGCCAGCTGGGAAGACCCGGTCCGTCTGGAGACCTATGGACACAAACCATGCATTCAATGAGAGAGAGAGAGATATGAGAAGTGGTGACCATAGTGACCATAATGTCTTCAACCTCAATGAACTACAGAAATACTAGTTTTTTGTCCCCAATTCAACGACCTATTCTCTTAGAAGCCCTGACTGCCTCGCCTTCTCTGTTCCAAGAATCCATAATGAAGTCGGAAAGCAGATCGTTTTCATACAAGTCTCCATCTGATTGGAATAGGTTACTCACATCCATTAGCCTCCTTTGGATTAGTTGAATTTGAATTATCTACATGCATTACAACTCCCTGTTCATGTTACTAGCGGTTTTGATTTTTTAATACCTGTATGTACATTTGAAGTTGTACTGTTCTACCTCCTGCTGTATGTATGGACTATATCTGATACTTACATAAAGAAATGATGTATATGTTCTCTGAATGTTGTATTTTTGTAGGGGTGTGGAGTGGGATCTGAGGGTGCAAATCTGTCTTGTGTGTGTTAAATGTGTATATGTAAATGTTTTGTATTGTATTATATGTATTTCCTTCTATAAAATTAAAATCAAATAACTCTATAATATATAAATATATCTAATTAACTGTCATAGGTAATAGAAGAGGAAGCAGTTTTAAGTTTTAATTGCAGAAATTGGCCTTTTCTTATATTATGATTTTTGGGCCTTTTAGTAATCTTTACTTTTATAATGCATACTGACCAAGGTCACACAAAGCGCCTAACGATGTTGTAGAGAACAACACATTTTTCCATTCCCTCTACATGTGAGACGCAAAAGACTATCAAAGTTCTCTCCTTCATTACACTACTAGAGCACCTGGAGGAAACCAGACATGGAGAGAACATGCAAACTCCAGACAGAAAAGCCTGGAGGTGGAATCGAACCAGAACATTTTGATCATGATTAAAAGAAAAACTGAAAGACCATGAAGTAACGATGAAGATGATGGAATGAAGGCAAATCAGCACCAGAAGGCCCTCTTCAAACTTTCAGATACATGTTGCTACTTTTGAATAGCCTAGATACAGAAACTATGACACACAATTTGAAAGTGAAGGAAATAGGCAACACACACATAGACATTAGAGGTGGTGATTGCGTTGGCTCACCCAGTTCGTGCAAAATTGGCCCAATAAGACATGATATTTCTGCAAAGATTCTCCTCGTCTTTTGTAAAATTGCCTGTTTTAGAAAAATAAAAATAACATAAATAATTGCTGTAATTTGCACAAATCAAATGTCAATCACAGAACTATAAGAAAAAACAAATTTACCAATGACTTTTATGCTACCATCCCAGAAACATGCTCCAAAGACATAGGGCACATCATCCGCATGATCCGCCTTCACAAAGCTTGGCCTTGTGTCTTTGATAAACTCAGTGCTGTATGCAAATTCATACAAATACACTGGAACTGCAGCATCTGTAGCAGATAGGAGCAGACAGACGGATTACTCGACACATACTGTATGATTAATAAAAGGATTGGTCTATGAGAGCACCTGAGAGGTACCCTGCTACTTCCACCACAGGCAGAGTCATGAGCAGGTCGCCAATGACCTCCGTGAATCTGTCCCTCACGGCCTCAGGGCTATGGGCGTCTTGGAGGTACTCGTCTGCAATCAGGCTGTTGGCAGAGGATGCCTGTAACATACATTAGATTTTGATCTGTAATAAACAATACATGGGTTTGTGAATTGCTTCATAACAACAGAAGCACTCGGATGATGCTCACCCCAGCAGGATGGAACATGTTCATGACAGCCATCACCTCCTCCCTGGTCATGCCCTGCTCCCAGCCAGGTGGACCAAATGCCTTCAAATATCAAAAGGAAAATGATTATGTGTATATTTTTGGACAAAACAGTTGTTGTATGTATTACCTGAGGCAGAATCCATCCAAACTCGTGGTTTGTGATGCCCAACATCACCGGGATTTTCATCATCTCTTGTTTCTTCAGAAGCTCTTCAGCAGAGTTGGTGAGAAACTCTCCATCCTCTACAGCGCCCAGGTATATTTTTATCTGCATACATGGACAATAGGGAGCTTATGTGGCAATGCAGCGTCCTCCTGTGGCTAAGAGATGGTACTACAGACCACATGATTTGGACAAATGTTTTTTTTTTTCTCCTTTTTTTTTGCCGTTCATATAATTTATATGACCTTTTCCAAAACAGCACAACACACCTTTTTTGTGGCATCTACCAACTGTTCTTTGGTCAAGGCTCTGGTACAACGCACCATCTCCTCTGTTGTTCTGTGAGCACATCCAGTTAGATTGGCAATTATCTGGAAGAGATAGTGTCAAATATTAATTGGAACTGATGGCGTGCAATTCCTTAGTTTTGTAATTATTGTAAAAACTGCAGTGATTTCAATACCTTAGCTTGTATCAAAGCCTCGTGAGCAGTGTGGCTGCTCAGTGTTGCCACTCCACTTTGGAAAATAGCTTTTTGAAATAGGCCTTTGGCTCGTGGGGATAGAGTCTGTTCAACACAAACAGATAGGTTTTTTTTCTTTTTTTGATTGTTGAGAGTTGAAAACTGTTGAATAATATCTATGTGTTTTACCAGTATTGATGCACTGATGCCTCCTGATGACTCCCCAGCAATTGTTACGCTCTGAGGATCGCCTCCAAACACCTCGATGTTGTCCTGGACCCAGTGCAGAGACATGAGCTGGTCCAGGAACCCCCAGTTCCCCCGTGCATGCTCATCTCCAGTGCTTAAGGATTAAAAGTGACTATCAAATTATAATTGGTATTTAAAAAATTTGTCTCCAATAACTAAATTCCTACCTGAGGAATCCTAGAAGACCCAGGCGGTATTGGATAATGACTACCACCATATTTTCATAAGCAGCCAATGAGGATCCATCGTACTGGGAGGCCGCCCCCACGGTGAGACCCCCTCCATGGATCCACAAAAGCACCTAAAAGAGACAGGATTACACTGAAAACATGTTTAACCCCCACTAAGTGACTATTGCTTTGGTTGATTAGTAAAAAATGCATGACATACTGGCAGCCTGTCCCCCTCTACTGCACTTTCTGGAGTGTACACATTCAGATACAGACAGTCCTCGGAGATATCCGGGGGGCTGAACTGCATGGACATGGTCTTTGAAACATTGACCACAGTCTGGGGGTCTTGGATGCACCTGACAATACAGACAGAAGGATAAGTGTTGTAACAGACACTAATGCATGATCGAACATGAGGTCGTACATAAGTGGCTGTGTGGTGCAGTCCCTCTCTCCATCCCAGGGCTGTGCTTCCAGTGGGGCGGCCAAGCGCAGAGGTCCCACTGGTGGCTGAGCAAAAGGAATTCCCAGGAACTGCTTCACTCTCCTGTCTGTGCCTCTCACAGTCACCAACTCTCCGCGGATTCGACCATTCTTTAGAACCAGCACGGGGTCAATCCTCCCAGCTGCAGATACATACACATAACATATTATAGGCATACGTGTTGAGTTGTCAGTTTCAAATCATATCACAGATCTAAGGGTTCAGTTCGTTAACGGCAAGGCCAATAAATATTACTTTTAGCTATGTATTAGTTATTTGTATAGGATCGTCTATATGACAGCGTTGTCCAAAATTTCAATCAATCCATTAATCTTGTTTTTCTTGTCTGTGCTTTTCCTACACAGGGTAACATAAATAACATAAAAAACACCATTAAAATCCCACAGGTATAATTATAACCCTCAAAATCACACAAGGGATTGACCCATAAAATGATGAATAACAATGCATTAAAAAGAAATAAAATTCTTCAGTTGTAGGTACATGGCAAACAGAACCAACTTCAACCTGGATTTGAACATTGTCAGAGAAGAGGCCTATCTCACGTTTTCAGGAAGACTATTCAAAATTTTAGCTGCATAAATCTAAAACGCTGTCTCCCCATGTTTAGTTCTGACTCTGGGCACCAGCAGGAGACCAGACCCTATTCTCCTCAAAGTCCAAGTTGGTTCATTTGGCACCAACATGTCACATATGTACTTTTGGTGCGAGGCCATGGAAAGACTTGTGCACAAGCTGCTTTAAAGTCTATTTCTCTGTGATTAAGGATTCAGTCTCTTCCTTACCTGGTCCCGCTTGAGCTAGTGTGCACGCAGACAGCAGGCTGATGAAGACCAGTGCTCTCATCCTCAGCATTACTGAACACATACTGTAGTACTCTCTCAAAATTAAGTGAATCGATCCCACCCCCTCAATGTCATGTACTTTCAACTCACACTGCTGTGATGTCCCTGTTTAAACACGGCCTATTGATTTACTCTTCAGGGTCAGGTGAACTCTGGATACTCTTGCAAAACTGTTATGTCACTTATGTCATAGTATTTAAATATTTGTCTCTATATAATACATTACTACTGATTTATTGTAATGATATATTCGACAATTACTTTTCATGAAATTATCTGTGGTATTTGTATGGACCTATTGTTTGTGTCTTTCAATGTATTGCATAATTATGATCAATAGTGTACTGTAGAGAAAATACAATGTACTGTACGGTATGTTTGTCAATGAGTCATTTTCAAAACATTGCACAGAGCTAACATGCTCTTCCCACACAGGTCAGGTTTGCCCACAATATTTACTATTCACTAATCAGTAAAAACGTATATATTTTTATTCTGTGTGTTCAACGTTTTCCTGGATATTGCGCCTGAGCAACTAGAAATATATATATATATATATATATATATATATACAGTATATCTGTCATTCAAGCCAATTCATGTAACATGAAGTAATCACCAAATTGAGCTTCTCTGTTACCTGCCCCACAGAAACTGACAGATTATTATTTGATCAATCTTCATTGAATACATTTTATAGTTCAAGCATCTGGGCTCAACTGGAACCAGCGAACGCTCCCACATAACTTTTCTGTTGTTAATACTGACGTTACACAGACTTTACTGCATTTACATCCACAGAGCCAGAGAACATCTATCTGACAGCTAGAAAAGCAAAAAAAAAATAAAACAGAATAGAATAATAATGAAGTGACTATCATCACATGTTAAACTGACCACAACAAATATCCTAAGTATACAAATGCTCAGGAACTCACAAAAAGGATTTTGTTTTTTACTTCAAAGCCGATGAACATGAGATAATACAGCTTCACAAATATATCAATCCATGAAGTTAATAATCCATAATTCAAACTCGCGTGTAGAGACCTCAAATTGATCGACGTCAATTTCGTCCAATGGGATTCTTTTCTCCATAAATTAATAACAGATTATATTAATTAATTTTATCACATAAAAAAAAAAAAAATATATATATATATATATACAGCGCATTGTGCGCTCTGCAGAGGAAGTGATCGGCCGCAGCCTTCCATCGCTGCAGGACCTGTACGTCGCCCGAGCCCGAGGCCGGGCTGGTCGTATCACAGCCGACCCCTCTCACCCTGCACATGGACTATTCCAACCACTCCCCTCAGGCAGGAGGCTGCGGTCCATCAGGACTAGAACCTCCCGCCACAAGAACAGTTTCTTCCCCTCTGCTGTTGGACTCTTGAACACTTCTTAACCTGTCCCCCCTCCCTTTATAAAGTCACTTTACTGCCCATCATACGTCACTTTACTTCACTGTACTGCTGTCACCTTACATTGTGTGCACCATGTGCACTTGTATATTGTAAATAGTAACTGTAACTCTATTTTAAATTTAAATGTATTCTTTAGAAGTGTTTTTTATTCTTATTTTTATTATCTCTTTCTGACTGTTGCACTGAGCCAAAGCAATTTCCAAGTCTGTGACCTGCTGTTACTTACGTGGCAATAAAAATGATTCTGATATATCTGATTCATATATATCATTTATATTTAAATCATAGATAAAACACAATTTAAATTTAATCTACAGAAAAACAACATCAAGATTCATAGAAAAGAATAAATCATAACAATATTAGTAATCATATCATTAATATAATTATCATAAGCATCATCATCATAATCATAACGTTAGAAAGGTTCTCTTGCAGTTTTTCAATCACGAGATGGCGCCATTTAGTTGAGTGTATACGCCTGAGAAGCTGTGGCATGATGGATGTGTCTTCGTCCAATAATTGTGAAACCAACAGGACACCAACCAAATATATTTGCCACATTTCTAAATACAGAAAATATTAAAGAGAAGGATCATGACGTCACGATGTTGTTGAAAGCTACTGAAAATACAAACAGGGAAGTTTTTCTTTGACACTTGTATGACAACACGTGGCATGGAAATGTTATGGATGGATTGAGGTCTCATAGAAAGTCACTATTGGTAATAAAGACCACATTGTGTATTTATTTATGTTACAATTATTGTTTTTGTTTTAACACCAGGACTCCCAGAATTCTGAAACTAGAACTCCCGGAGCAGATTAAAATTATGTAAGTAATTCATACGGTTTTTTTATTTATTGCATAAAACTATAAAACTGGTTAATATGCAGTTTGCTGCAAGTAAACAGTGTGTTGCTATGGTAACCAGCACTTGCTCCAAGCCATAAGACCAGTCGAGGGTCGATATAATTTCATAAACCTAATTAAATGAATGAAACAAACTACTATAGATATAGAAAAAAGTTAGGAAGTACAAAAACGTACATAAGCAGTGTAATCACACTTTTCACATGGAAAACCGTCAAATTGACTGCTCTGGTGTTAAAAATGGTGTAAACTTGGAGCTACTTGTTGTGTTTTCCAGCTCGTTTCAAGGTTCACTGCGGACCAATGAGAGGGCAGTGCGCTGCGTGACTCATGCGTGAGGGGCGGGGCCAGGCGCGCGTGCTGCTGTGGTGTAGTAAACCGTGAACAGTGAGGTCCATCAACTCACCGAGACTGTCCCAGCCCAGCGCGGATCACACCGAAACACGGGAAACTTGACATAAAACCCCCTTAGGAACACACCCAGCTGACACACGGATCTCTCCCAGCGTCATGTCGAATCTGCTGATCCCAGAGGACGACTGCTGAGAGACCCACCGGGGCTAGCGTTTGGCCAAACACACCAGCACGAAACACCATCGTTAGCAGCTGTGTCCGAACCGAAGGAACGCCTTTTTTTTCTTCCAAGTGGTCAGAGCAAAGTGAAGCGAACTGGGTTAAAAGCGATATCGAACCAGGACTTGACACACACACACGAGTCCCAATTTGAGGCAGAGATTCTCGGGTCATGTGGCTTGCTCTGCGCGCTGGAGGACGGAGCGCCGCGACTCATCACTGAACCACGGTGAAAACGAGAAAAGAAAAACGCGAAAAGACTTATTGCGCTGTCCCGTCAGTCCACATCGGGCTCGGAGAGAAGCTACAGCTGCCATGTCCCGCAGGAAGCAGAGCAAACCCCGGCAGATCAAACGTAAGACAACACACGAATGCAAGTTTTGGTTCAGGGGTTTCGTGCGCCACGGTTCCCCACGGTGCGCGCTTGGAGATCCAGGTCCACGCTGCTGCTGTCACTTATTCACGTCGTTCACAAGTGCAGATTGGTTTCGCTTTAGAGTCACACGTTATCCATTCATTTGGTTCTTAGCATGAAGATAGCCGACAATGTGTTGAAGGCGCATTCATTGAAGTTTTATAATATTGTTAATTCCAAAGCCAATCTCATGCCACTTTACACACACCAACACTAACCTACTTGCTAACATCAGACAATACATTCCATGCTGTAGATTGGGAATCGATTGTGTAAATATTATCATTAAGCTTATCAAAAGTTCCTATTGGTGCTGTGTCCATTGTAGAAGCTGTGACTGTGGCTTCCTGTTTAATTCTGTTGTGGAAACGTCAGTGTTCTCGGAAAAAGCTGATGTGAACACAGATAAGCAGCGATCCGATGTAGGCACTGATAAAGATTAAAATTGGATGTGTTTTATTTGTTTTGTGTGAAGCAACTACGTATATAGCGGCGTTCCTCCCCTGTGGCTTTTCACTTCTCTTTTCCACTGATGGGGAGTCAGATAAGACCTGGCCGATCACTCCGGCTGATAGCCACTCACAATTGGATCTTTTTTCATCTATCCTTTTAACTCAATAATGCATCTTATAGGGCTCTTTGAAAGGTCCTTTTCTTGCTCAGGCGTTTGGCTGACTGTGCCGGTATGGCGTCAAAATAGGGTCTGCTTAAACGTAACCGTAAAGCAGGAATTGTAAACGTAGGTTGTAAGTATTGTAAACATTAAAAATATATTGTAAATGAAAAAATTTAAAACTTACATTTAAGGTTCTGATTTTTCATGTTTCGCTTCAAAAGTTACGTTTACGATTCACAAGTTACGTTTACAATTCACAAGTTACGTTTACGATTCACAAGTTACGTTTACGATTCACAAGCTACGCTTACGGGTCAAAACTTACGGTTACGATACATTTTTCATCTGACCCCTTTTTGGAGGGGCGGGCTCAGCGCGCCCATTGGCTGGAGACACCGGATGTTACGTCTCACAAAAGCAAAACACACCATTCAAAAGTCTCGTTCGAACTCTACATCGTATGATTGATCACATTTTTTCAACTGGGCTGGCTTTTATAGGCTTTCACGTGGTATGTGCACTCTTGTGGACACCCTAATTACACCAGGTCATGTTTAGATCGTGTGAAATATGCTCTCGTAATAACGTCATATGCCTATGTTGCCCCAAGGCTAGCCAGCTAAGCTACACCTCGGGACCTTCCACTGTACGTTGTTCACACTGAATGCTTTGTCATGTCAGGATTATCTACTGCTATCAAAGGTGAATAAAACTATGTATTTGATTTTTTGTTTGCTTATTATTTACATAATTATAGCGGCTTACCTAATGAGCCCATGCTAGCTAACAATGAATCTTGTCAGTCCATAACCTGTACATAAAGTTTTGAAACAAATGAGGTAACTAGCTGAATGATTAAACAAATCTGTGAAACTTGCTAAATAGTACGTTTCATTGGCTTCATGATATCTTATCAAAATTAACTTAATGTTAAGTAGCTCAAATAGGGGCTAACCTGTTAAGGCCATTAAGTTTACGATATTTGGCTACTGTACCTGTACTGTGTTTGCTAATTTAGGATGGCAACATCCCTAAAATCACACAGAAACTCTGTTTAGTTCTGATCTTGCAGGTTATCTCTGCGATGGGCACCAGCACCACACATTGCAGACCAGCAAGATGTGGTTTTATAATAATCTATATAAATGTGATGTATTTTCATGTCTTAGGGACCATGTCTGCAAATTAAGTGCTAGCTATACAGCCTATGGACATGGTATCGGCCACCTGTATCAATACTTTTAATTCTGTGCCTATCAAAAAAACATATAATAGCACTATTCTCACAGAACAGTGGGTTGTAGATAGGAGTAAATGGCCATCTGTTACCTGGCCTAATATCTATAACTTCCTCATCCAGACATACAGTGTTTATACCTGACTGAACTCCTCCAGATCTCCACACCTGCCCGCTCCCTCCGCTCCTCCTATCCTCTCCAGCTCTTGGTCCCTCCTGCCCGCCTTGTCACCATGTTGAATAGAGCCTCTCCTGAATAGACACTCTCCTCTCTCCATGATGCTTTTAACTGTTTTTAAAATACACTTTTTTTACTTGGTTGTTAGGCAACCGTGAGTGTCAAGAAAACTAATTATATAAAAAACTACTTCCACTCTGGGACTGAGTTCTATGTTGCTCCCAGTCAGAGAGTGGGCATTAAGTCAAAGCCTTATGATGCCTGGGTGTACGTCTACAAAGACTCGGTACATCCTTACCCTGAACTGTTCCTGTATGGCAGGGTATGGACATGTAACTTGCTTTTAATGTTCAATTACAGTCTTAACCTGGTGCACACCCATTGACCCCTTTATTAGTGTAATCTGCGTTATGTTTTATGTTCTGCGCTGTCTGAAGAAGGACCAGGACACATGGAGGACCACTGAATGACATTTACTAGTAGCTCTGCACAAAATAAAACACAAATCCACTTCACGTCTCTCCATGCATTCAGCTCAGCAGTCCCCTCCTCAGATGCAAGGCGCAGTTCTCCTGATAAAGGGAAAAAGCCACATTAATAAGAAGTTACTACATTTTGAGTTGTATACAGGTTGATCACTTTTGTTCTCCAGTTATCTTTGTATCAATGGTAAAAAGACAAGTTTGTGATTTTAGATAGATTTACAGCTCTAAAATATTGGTGTGCTCTTCATCCACTCACAGTATCAGTATTGTTGTGACTAGAAGGCTACACAGGCTCACTTATGAACAACTGTTTAGTTAGTTATTTGAAGACTGTTTCTCCTCAGACTAAAACGAAGGAGCCTCCCTAGCTACTTATTTAGCAAAACAGCTAATGTTAGCATTATAGCAACGTCAGCTGTTTGTTATAGCGGCGCTATAAGTGAGCTGGCTTTAACTTGACTGATCATGATTAAATCAGGTAGCAGCGGGTTCTCTTCTTATAGCGACATGATGTAACCAAGTGATCACTTATGGGTTGGAGTTGGACTCTTTCATTATTAGCTTCTGTAGGACACAGACACTTACCAGCTATGAAGTTTGCTCTTAGCATTTATGTACGCAGGTCTCCGTAGATGGCCTGAAGCCTGTTCTTCGTCTTCTGTAGTAACCAGACTGTAAAGATTGCAGCAACGTGCGTGTGTTTTGCTTTTGTGACATCCGGTGTCTCCAGCCAATGGGCGCGCTGAGCCCGCCCCTCCAAAAAGGGGTCAGATAAAAAATGTATCGTAACCGTAAGTTTTGACCCGTAAGCGTAGCTTGTGAATCGTAAACGTAACGTAAACGTAACTTGTGAATCGTAAACGTAACTTTTGGAGCGAAACATGAAAAATCAGAACCGTAAATGTAAGTTTTCAATTTTTTCATTTACAATATATTTTTAATGTTTACAATACTTACAACCTACGATTACAATTCCTGCTTTACGGTTACACTACAGTTTTTTCGTTTACAATATTTTTTTATGTTTACAATACTTACAACCTACGTTTACAATTCCTGCTTTACGGTTACGTTTAAGCAGACCCTATTTTGACGCCATATGCCGGCTGCTTCCTGTTTATAAAACGTGTTAAAGTTTATCTCTTGAATGACCGATGTTCAAGTGGAGCTGAGGCATATTAATGAATGTGATTGCGATGCGATGTTTCTCAGACCTATGTGATTCTGAAAGTTGGTCCCAATGGTCTTGCTTAAACGAGAATCTGTCTACTGGTAACAAATAATAACATGTTATCTATGATTGCTCAGCTGCGTGTTCACAAACCTTAAATTGAAACCGCACAGACCTGAATAATGTGATGTTTTTTTTTTTTAATCACATGGAATTTATAATGTTACAGTGTCTCTAGTCAATATGGCTCCATTTGATATTGAGATGCCAGTTCAGATAAGGAGCAGACAGTAGAATCTTTGAAACAAGATTGCCAAATGGAAAAATACATTGTTAAATAAGAACTTGCTTTGATGCTTATCACTGTAACCATCAATTCACCCCATCTGTGTTTATTCAATTTGAAAAAATCAATTCAGTAAAAGATAATATGCAACTTAAAATAATAGTTAAGTCAATTTGATTACTTAGTTTTGAGTAACATTGTTTTTCATGATATACGTGAAGGAGATGATGAATGAAATTGAATAATTGTAAGGTAAACAGATGTGTTTGTTGTTGTTACATGATAATAAACTGGCGGTTCTTGAAAATGGTTAGAACACTGTTCTTTGATGCTGAACAGAAGTTTGTTTAGATCCATAGCGCTCCAATCTATTTCCACAGAGAGCCATATCAGCTGTGAAGTCCCCTCAGTCAGCTCCTGTGCAGGCAGCAGATCCAGACCTGAGCTTGATAAACTGGCTGTGTCCTGCCTGTGTGGGGGTCTCAGGGGTCATGGGGCCTTTATCTGTCCTCTCGCTCCAAATCCTCATCCAACCAGGACCCAGTGTAGACCAGACCAGACTTCCAGCCCTGTGACTCTCTCATGACTCTACATTTTGATAGAAAGGAAAGAGTGATAAGGGGTTAAGGCTTTGTAGGACTATAACCACTGCCAGGACTAATAAACCCATCAGCGGCACAATACAAGTCTTTGAAATATTTGTATTACTCTTGAGCTGGTACTTGCTTGTAAACTCTATTTGTCAGCCACAAAATATGTTTAGGACTGCATTGGATTTGTAGTAGTACAACCACAAAGTAGCAAACCCGTGTGGACACTAACCTAATCGTTCTGTATAATCACCATGATCAATGCACCATAATCCTTAAAGGGGTATATCCAGGTGCTAAACGTGTGCAACATGAAATCTTGTGTGCAATTTTAGTTGCATCATAAATCAGTTTGTTCCAATGTTAAGGGGTGCTAT